GACTGAAGCCGCCTCTGACATGGTGCTGAAAATCAGCAGCCACAGCCTCGATTCTAGAGTCCTTCCTCGGCTTTCTTCACGTGCATCCACTGTTTCAGCTTGGTCTATATTGATGTGTTGGCTTGTTGGCAGGTTGAACGAACCTGTGCATTCTTGCGTTTGTTTCGTCACCGCAAGTGAAGAGGTGGAGATCATTTCAGGTAGAACCGTTTCTCTCGGGTGGCAGAGCCTGAGTTTGGTACAGAAAAACCACAGTTCGACATGAGCTGGGACAACACGCAGGGCGCGAAGGGCTGAGTTTACCTGTTTTGGCGCCGGCCTGCCTACATTTCCTGGATGTGGTTCTCCATTTGAAATGGAGGAACCCTAAAACTCGCTGCTTTCGACTTTGCTTTATACCTTGAAAAGTGGAAATGTGACTCCTGCTAGAATCCCGAAAGCATAGCCATGCAGTCATATTGCTGACAAGCAAGCCCATTCAGAGACGCCGCCAGCTGCCATCTTGGTTGTCTCATTCTTTCTGGCGGCATCGTAGGTGAATGAAAGATGGGACTCTGATGCCCGCCCATAGGGCTGGAGGGGTTTGATTGACTTGACCTCATGTTATGTCGCCGAAGGGAAGTCTTCACGAAGTAACCAAACCCGGAACAGACTTCAAGTGGTGTCAAGTGGAGCTGATGTCCTCGTATGCAGCAAGTTCAGTCCGGGAGCAGAAAGCAGCAGTCTACTGTCTCCTGGCAGTGAGGATACTTTACTTGATCCGACCTGGTTTCTGAAGAGCGGGGTGCAGTCAATGCCATGGGTGGAATGTTTGTTTGGGATTGGCCGGGCCTGTTGCTGAACCGATTCTCCTGTGGAAACCAGGATAACTTGTGCAACATGTATTCTCTCCTGCGGGTTCCGTCCCAGATGTCACCGAAGCATATGCAGGCTTACATTGCTCACCTTAATTTCAGTCTTTGTGGGTGCAGTCTTGCAAGTTGTCTTTGCGAATATGGTGTTCAATCAAGTAAACAACAGACAAATATGGTGTTTGTGAATATGGTGTTTGTAAACCCATATTGTCTTTGCGAACAATGGTGCAGTCTTGTAAGTTATTCAATCTTCTTGTTTGCCCCGCAATCTTCCGGGCAAACAGCTATCAAGTAGCTGCCCAGGCTCTCAGCAGAAGATCTTACTTATTGTCTTGATCAAGTAAGTGCTCTTCCCCCAAACTCTGGGCCTGGAATCCTACGCACCACACCCATCCACAAATCATCGGCCGATTTCCTGATCAAGTCAGACCCTCCGAGCTTTTTCGGATTCCATTGTTTGCTGTGTCGTTTGAATAACATCCTTTGCTTCAAGACATGCTGGCCCCGCACCGAAGGCTTTTGGATCTGGAGGGGTTTAAGACTTGTCATTGGCATACCGGGTCATTGTTTACATTCTTATTCTTAACATCCTCATTGTTAACTCAATGATTGCAGATGTCCTTCCCGGATGCAAAAGCCAGATCCATCGCCCATTGGTTGCTGTCGGCTTGGCAGTACATAGGCAGTAGAACCAGATGTCGGGATGGTGATGGCAACACGTCATAGATGGCAAACTTTGCCCGTTGTACAGTGACATCGCCCAGCCCCTATAGAGTTGTTTTTGTAGATTGACATCGCTGAATCTGGTTGCACATATTGCAGTGAGCAAATTGCAGTTGCTTCACTAGTCAGCCAGCCAGGAATCTTGAGGTGAATGCAGAAGCGCACGTCCTGCCACATACACTTGACGTCCAGAAACTAAAGTTAATTGCAGAAGGCCGTCAGCCCATTCCTTGCCTTCGCGCAGGGAAAGACTCTCCGAGTTGCCACTGAAGGTGATCGGCTTCCAAAACCTCCGTGTACATGGCCAGAGTCGTGTCATACCGACCTGTGCGCAAGCACAAAATCCACGTGCGTAAGGTGGCGGAAGCTAGTGGCGTAAGCAACACCCCCAAATGTGCCGCGTAAGGAAAAACTCCACGCGCATAAGGTAGCGTAAGCTAGTGGCGTAGTCAAAATGATACGACTTAGCTAGTCATGACACGTTTAGGACATGGCTCAGGTGTCACATCAGCTTCAGCAAGCTGGAAGACGCCTTTGGAGACCAGCACCCCAAACTGTGTCGATTTGTGTGAGCCGTGCAGAGTCATGCTCCGCCAACATTGCCACGCTGCGCATCGTCCGCCAACGAAATATCACTATTTGCGCGTCCAGGGTGGGCGAAATAAGAAGTGCACAATTGCTGCAACGACTCGCCAAGTCCAACACTTTGAGCCCGCACACTCTGGGGCAAAAGCCATGGGCCAAATCGGGCCGAGAAGTGCGCAAGGTGGCTTTGGCGAGCTCTGCGAGCGTGGCATGGGGCGAGTCGGGTGGGTCACCAAGGGCAACGGGTGGATTTTTCCGGAGAAATTGTCTGAGAGTCTCCAATCCCCTTGGAAGCTTGCCCCGCTCAGATTTTGTGCCTCAGAAGGCCCTGGGCTCTTGATAGAAGCGCTTATGGCCTTCGCAGACGGATATCCAAAAGTTTCGAAGAAGAGGTTTTGCCACTGAGAACCCTCTAAGCGCCTTTTCCAAGAAGGCGCCCTACAGACGCCACCTTGCAGCCACTCCCTTAGTTCTGCCCCTGACGGGGCACGCCTGTGTTCAGTGTCGAAGTATGACGCTGGTAAAGTCTAGGACCGGACCATTCCCCCAGAGATATGCTCAGCCAACCTTGCGCTGCTCATCCTTTCCCGGAGATGTTGCCTTGTTTCAATCTCTGCCGCAGGCTTTAGCCGAGCAGAAAAGTGCACAACTCCCACGGCTTTGCCTGCAGCAATCCCAGCAATTATTGGACGCCATAAATTGCCGTGTTGCCTGCTTTCTGCAAGATGTGCAGTCGGATGTTTGCTGGAAGAAATGCCTGCAGCTGCAGCAACAAACAACATAGAATTCTTAAACCCGCGGATGATTCGCCCTTTGCACCTGCGGCAGCTTCAGCTTCTACACTGCGGGCTTTGTGAGTAAATGCCTGATCCTTGCCGTCTTGTCCGGCTCTTGGCCTCGACTGCCATCTTCTCGGCTTCGGCAAGAGGGTTTCTGCGCTAGGCCTGCAGAGTCGGCAGCAAATCACTCATTTTACGCAGAGAGCGGGTGGACACGCTTCTTGCAAACTACAGTCGTTGAAGGTTGGCGGAAGGTATGCCTCGCAGACGCTTATTGGAAGGTTTAAAGTGTTTTTGTTAAATGGCTCAAGGCCCAAAATCGGCAAACCTGTGTGAACTGAAGCAAATGCAACCTACATATGCCCGTGGAAGGTCGTGGGGAAGGTTGACTTTATGGGAGAAAGGACATAGAAACAAACTGAGCTTACATTAATATGGCCATGAGTTTTGATAGGGAACCACCTCAGAAGTGATTGGTGGACATGAATCCCGACCTAAATGATGTCCACCAAAGGGTCCCTTATGAAGAAACATCGCCATATTGCGCAGATGATGTTCCGCGCCGTGTTCACCCGAAGCTGCGACTCGGCCCGCGCTGCCCTTCGCCGGCTTGGGCTCCGGATCGGCGCTTTGTGTGGCTCGCAAGCTGAGTGCTGGTACCTGGTACCAGTCCAACACTCTACCGACTCTACCTGGTTCTGAGATGGTTCATGGAAGAAGTTTCCCCATGGTCAACCACGGTTTCGAGAAGCTGCATGGAGTAGAAAGCACCTGCGTCGACCGCTCTCGTTAGCCACCATTGCCTTCAACAAGCTGGGCTGAGCATGTCTTGGCACGCAAGGCTCACCAGGATGTCTTGACTCTCGACGACAGCTACATCTAAAGCCACTCGTTCGTTTGAGATCATCTTGCACTCGCACGAAGGTAGTGCAGACGATGTGGCTGTTCGACTTGATACCCAGAGACTATAGACGGTTAGGAAGAGTGACTATTACCTAGCGTGGATGGCGCAATACACCGGGCATTTGATCAGCTCAAGATGCTGGCGGGCAAGTACTGAGCTTCGGGCAGCCGACTGGCAGCGTTTGATATCGAGGACGGGGGCTCTCCGCTCAATCGATTGAAGTTTGGCGCAAAGCCACCCGCATGTCCCACGTACACATGCTGAAGACCACTCGGAAGCCTGAAAGGATGCGCTGGGCTTTCCACCGGAACGGCCGTGTGGCATCCCGGAGGCTGATATACAACTGGCTTGGGTGTAACTAGCTTGTGACTATGTCCAATTGCGTGCAACAGCTCAAGTGACACAGTGACACAGTGACACAGTTGGACAGGCAACGCCTCAGCGCCTGCAAAGCCTGAGCTCTTTCACCAGCTTTGGCATCGCAGACAGCTCGACGTTGGGTTGTCTTTTAGAGAGTCGCAGCATGGCATGCATGGCTTGGGGTGACTTGGCCAGTCTTCAAAGTACACATCCAGCCACTTCTTCCATTTCTGCTTGGCAAGAGCTGGGGAGCGTGCAGGAGCGAGCTTAAGGCGCTTCGGCCTGTCAAGATGGTCTCTCGCGACATTCGCAGCGAAAGCACTGGCTTCGGTTGACCTTTCCCTCGGTTTTCCCTTGTGGCTCAGTCAGTGTGCGTGGTCGTCATGGGTCATGAGGCCTGCAACACGGCCCGCGACTTGTTCCTGGCACGTTGAGGACACTTTGAGCGTAGGCAAAGCTACCTGAGCCCTTGACTTGGACCCAGAGTGCTTCCAGGCTGGAAGCGGCAATTTACAATTCATTCACATGAGCGCCGACATTTTTGCAGATGGGATATTGCTGCAGAGAGCGCACAGGGGCCGGTTCGGTTAGCGCAGTGCTTGTTAACCAGCTACCGCCCTGATGTTTGTCGCAGGCTCGACGTCTCTCTCGTGCTACCATTGGCTTTGACAAGCAAAGCATGTTTTGGCATGCAAAGCCACCGAATCTCCTGCTGAGGCCAACAAGAACTAGCCTAACTTTTAGACATGCGAGCTACATCAAATTGCATGTAAAATTACATATTATTCGGTTGCAGGATGTGGAACTTCTTGGACCATTGGCGCAAACATGTTCTACATTGCATGGCGCATTGATCAAAGGCTGCTCTGCCGGGCCCTGTACTCGGGCAGTAGCGCGTTGACGCTGCTTGGACGTTTGCGCTGCTTCCTGCAGGTCAGTTTGCAGGATGCACAGTTGCCAGATCGTCTCACCCGGGCCCACGATTAAGCTGGCTACCCCAGGCATGTCCGAGCGCGGCAACCGACATGCATCTCAGCAAATCCTGCGGCCAAAGTGGCTTCTCAGGCATCTTCAGGCTCTCAGATTTGGTTTCTGCCCGTGCGTGGACATTTGCTCCAACGATCAGTTGTTCCAAGTACCTTAGTACCTTGGTTTGTTACCTAAGTGTAGCCCAGTGAGCCGCTGACATGCTTGCCTTTGCGGAGAGGGGCCAGCTGCCTGGCAATTCAGGCAATTATGCTCCCAGCGGATTGGGAGTTGTTTGTTCTTGGCATCAGGTTATTTGATTTGGAACCTCCAGCATGCAGAAAGCTTGTCTGCTGGGAGACCACGGACGTTGGCAACTCACGGAGCATGGCCCTGGCTTTGAATCGGCCTCAACTTGTGGGCCGTGCAAGCCGTAGCTCCAGCTATCTCAGCACATTTCAGCGCTTTACATCGTCGAAGTGCCAGCTTGGTACTCACACAGCTTGGGCGGCAGCTCCCAGCAATTTGCAATCTGTGTAGTCACGCTGTTGGCAGGGAGCAAATGTGTTTGAGCTTTCACGCGTCAGGCTTTCACAAGCGCTTGGCTGCGTTGTGTTTTCATATTTGGCCTACCAGCGCTCGCTGAGCGCACATTGCCCACAACCTCGTGGCTGACGAACAGAGCGCTGGGCGTGATGTTGCACCCATTGACTTGTCCCCTTTGGTGCTTGTCTGATGTCCATCATATTTCACGACCTCGCCAAACTGGGTCTTTACTAGGGACCTCGACAAGCCATGAACAGCCATGTCTTACTTCTCCAAGACATCAGCAAGGATGTATAAGCATATCGGACAACACTGCCGCTGGACGTTTAGCTCACAGACACCAGCAATTTAATCGCAGTGAGGGCCCTCCTATTCAGTAGACCTGCCCTGTTCTGGATCGAAAAGGAGCAAGTGTATCGCCATACACAATTTCAATTAGAGTGGCAATGACAAGAACGGCTTCTACAAGGTAGGATTAAAACGCGTGAATGCACTTGAAAACCGAGGACCTCAGAAAGCTAGGTCCTTTTGGAACGACCTCGCTTAGCCAGGCCCGTGGAAGCCTAGAGATTGTTTGTGTGACGTTTGTGATTGAACAGGTATACTATAGAGGTCACTTGCACGATTGACGCTTGTCAAGGAATGCCGGTGCAGACGGACGCGGCCTTCCTTCTGTCCAAAGGCACTCTCTCAGGACAAGCCTCGCTTTGAACTGACTTGTGCCACTTGTGCCGCGGCGCCGCGGCTTGCCAATGGACCTGATGCGTCTCTCGTGCATTCTGCCTGGCAGCCGATGCAAGCGTTTCCAGACCGCCTGAGCGGCTCAAGATTCCCTTTGTCAGCTTGCATTCGCTGGCGAATTCTGCAACATGCCCAGTTGCTTGTTGCACAGAGCACATAGCTCCAACAAACTTTTCGCATGTCACAGGAGAGCGGAGGTGCTCCGTTTTGGTGTCAAAGTTGCTGAACCCCTTTGTCAGAGCTGAGCATCTAGCCTTCATAGCCGTGCCTGCCGCCCGCTTGGCTTCCCATTGAGCTGCGGCAGTCGCTTGATCTAGGAATTCAAATGCAGTTTGTGCGAAGAGGCGCTGTGGAAAAGTACTCACAAGACCCAACTTTGTAGCATGCTCATTGACTATTATATATTTGTCTTGTTTGTTTAAAAAGCTGTCTACTTTGATTTGCTTCGTGGCTTGACTTGGACCTTTGATTTGAGCCCACAACTACCACTGTTTATGAAAATGACATTACAAGTTGTTTTAATCTCTAGAAATACATTTGTTTCACGCCTGAGCAGTTATTGGATGACTCATGCCCCCGATTGGTTGCTGCGCACGCCTCACAAACTGCTTGCTTATGCTCATCATGCTTGCAGCGGGTCAGGGTTTGTTAGCTTTTGATTTTGAGCTTAGCATCTTGTTTGCATTCCTGGATTCGCCCAGATAGTTCGCATTTCCTGACGTAGTGTCTGTTTGCCCGTGTTCTTTCTGCTTGGAGTCGGCCTCGCTCATAAGCCATTCAGCAGGGCTGGCTTTGTTAGCTGCTCGACATGTTTCGACCTTCGTGGATATGTTCTGACTGCTATTGGGTTGGATCTTTAGACTTTAACTTTTTGGGAAATGAAGGGGTTTTCCGCTAAACCCCCAAAAAGTTAAACTTTTTGCAGGGGGGCCAACAGCAACCAAGGTTTGGTTCAAACACATGCTCAGATATTTCAATATGTGGCATTGGAGACCGCCGTTCAGGAATTATTTCCTCCTCCAATACTTGCTGCGAGGAAGGGCATTTTTGTTCTACGTAAATCGCGACTGGCATGCCCCTACGATAGAGATGGACATTTGCAGGTCTGAGGCAAAACACTTCCCCGAGGGTGCTAAAGAAACACTGGGCGTGTACTGGTTTTTGTACCCCACTTTGTCACAGCCGACATGCCAAAGACTGCAAAGGATCAGGAGAGCCCAGGGGATGTCAAAATCTCCTTCACGTTCTTGTTGCAGGGCTTGTCACCTTGTCATCTCTTCTTGCACGATCTTGCGCGCTTCTGCAGGGCAGGTGGCACGGGCGGAGCGGCAGAGCGGGATGGGGATAGCAACATGCCATCGATGGCAACCTGTGCCGAGCTTCTGATGTCGCCCAGCCGCAATGGTTTTGCCTTTGTCGATTGACATCAGTGACTCTGGTGGCGCATTGTGTAATGATGAAACTGCAGCTTTGCGGTAGTCAGCCAGCCAAAGCCCTTGCAGAAATGAATGCAGAGACTCATGTGCAACTGTGTTTGACTCCAGCGCAGGAGGCTACATTTTTTTGAAAGGCCCGTCAGTCCATGACCTTTTGGCCATTTCTAGCCCTGGCATGCGCATATAGAGTTTGCTTCCAGGCATCAACCCAGGCGTTTGCACATCAGCTTCAGCAACCCGGAAGAAGAGCTGACAACATTGTGACGCCTTTTGGAGACCGGCGCCCCACGCTGTGTCGATGCAATTCTGACACCTCGACAGATGGGGCATTTCTTCAGAAGAGGCGCATCTCCTTGCTGCTTGGAGTGAAGCGATCAGTGCTGTGCTTGGCGATCTGCTTTCAGAGTCGGCCTGTGGGCGCCGGCTTGGGCAAGCTCCGCATGCGGACACAACGGCCGAGTCAGGCTTCACTCGAGGGAAGGTGTAAGCTATGTATGTGCAGTGTCAACCAACGAAGTGACAAACAAGCAAAGCCTCACGCAGTTGGGCCGAAGGTCTAGGATGGTCACCGGCTCATTGTAGACCCTCTTAGATGCTGCGTTGCAAGTCCCTGAATGTTCCCGCAGATGTTGAGCCAGCATTGCTGCACTCTTGCTTGCTGGTTTTGGTGAAAAAGCTTGACGTGGTTGGGAAAGCTCTGGCTTTGCTTCTACGCTTAGAATGAAATGACCGGTCCTGCACCCGGGGCTGTGCTTCGTGACCTGCAGGCTTCGGCCGCCGCGAGATTCTGCGTGTCTCTTGGGATGATGCCGGCATGCGCGTCTATATGCAAGATAAGGCACAGCCTGTTGTTTCCCGGCGACGATGCTAGCTTGTTCCACACTCTGAGTTCCCAGGCAGGCAACTCGCACAGCTTTGACTGCAATCTCAGCGATAGTTGACGCTCTAGGTCATTTGAGGCCTTGCTCGGATTTGAATGGGCTGGGGTTGTCAGCTAATTGACAGATGCAGTCAGATTCTTGCTGGGAGGAATGTTTTTGCCATGGCGAACGGGTTAGATTCTAAAGAGCTGAGCCGGACGATTTCGCATTTTTGACCTTTGTCACCGCTCCAGCTTCTGTGCAGCCCCATTTTCTTAACGGCCTTGCCTGTGAGTAAACGGCGGATGTGTCCCTCGTTGGGGTCCAGCTCTGGCTCTTCCAAGGCTCACGGGCAACTCGTAGCCCCTTTTGCTTGGCCTCGACTCGAGTTTTGCCCTCTCAGCTTCGGCTTGCGCAAGACGGTTCCCCAGGACCCGCCTTGTTAGCGGTTACATTGGAGCGTCGTATCTTTCCATACTTGCTGTGCAGGCCCTGCTCGCACATACTCAAAGTCCAAGCTTTGCTTTGGTCTCTTATGAGCACGCTGCATAATATCGCGTGCATTGTCGGAGAAGCAAGGGCGCAGTGCATGATCTGCTTAGCCCTGTCCACAACCAGATCAAGCTGTGCCCGTGACTCGGCCTACGCTTGTGCCGCGTGGCAGCTTGGACTCCAGCGTCAGGGTGTGTCAGCGCTTAAGGCTACTTGAGCTGTTCTATGTGGCTCGCAGTACCTTGGCTGGATGCTGGCGTGTTCACGCTGTCCACCGCTCGACCCGGTCCTGAGGCAATGATTCGTGTTTCCGCCTCTCCCTTTGCCAAGGAAGGGCACAAGGCAGTTGCTTGATGAGGTTTGGGAGGGTGTACCCGGTGGGCGGTCCCTATCAATGCCGTTGGGGTTCAACGCGACCATCCACCCCCATTTGACTTGTCCTTTGTTTAGTTTTCAGCAATTATACTATTCAGAAAGTGAACACATAGGAAGAACCCTACAGCTCCAACCATTGTTGTGAGAAAAAGCATGGTTCGGGTCATTTCCTTATTCCCTACCAGGAACAAGTAAGCAGCTGCATCCATCTCTTTCTTTTGCCACCATAAGCACGACCTTCGACAAGCTGAGCATGTTGTGGCATGCAAGGCTCGCCAAGATGTCTTGACTCTGGACGACAGCTGCATCTAAAGCCACACTGGCTCGGTTGAATTCATCTTGCACTTGAAAGAAGGTACCGCCAGGGTTGTGCAGCCTCACATGATGACACATGACTGTTCCCGCAGAAAGCCCAGCACATCCTTTCAGGCTTCGGAAAATGGCCTTCGCTGAGTCTTTGAGTATTTTGTACTGTATGGGATGTATGGGTACTAGCTTTGCTACAAACACCACGCGCAAATTGAGCGGAGTGCCCCGCCGGCTCGACCTCTTGGATTTCTGAAGCTTGGCCGCAGCATCATGAGCTGAGGCCTGAGTGATTCGGGCTCATAAAATGCCAGGTGCAAATCTGAACCTGCCAGAAAGAAGGGGGGTGTCCTCCACGCACGGGCACATTGGGTTGTAGTCACCTTTCAGGCTGAGATACAGCGGGTTTTCTAGGTGTGGCTCATGACTATGTCCAATTGTGTGCAACAGCTCATCATGTGACACATTTGGAGAGGCAATGCCTCAGCGCCTGAGCTCTTTTAGCTGCATCGCTGGCCGCACAGCTCGACTTTGGCTTCGTTGCTTCTTCTTAGAGTGTCGGAGCATGGCATGCACGGTGCAGGGGGCTTGGGATGACTTGGCCAGCCTCCAAAGTAGACATCCAGCCACTTATTTCGCTTCGGTTTGGCAAGAGCTTGAGTGTGCATTCGGATCGCACTACAGGCATGTAGTCTCAATTGCAAGGAACTGTAGATTCATGAGGCCCACCGAATTCTGCGGTTTCAGGAAATGACCAAGCGTGGGCCCCTGATATCCCCTGATTCGTGGCTGGCGCCTTTTGAAACATTGCTGGAACAGCGGCATGTCACGCTTGCTGAGCATCAGCTGCAAATGGCCAACATTGGTCTCAACAACTCCAGTTGTTGTGTCCCCCTTCCATGATCTGCCATATTCTGTGACCATGATGCACTCGCACGGTTCAGTGCTCCAACCCTTTGCCAATGCTTGGCAAGTTTCATTGCACGTTTCGAGATCAAAATGAACTTACATTCATGAGTTTCGGAAATACGTTTGCTGACAACCCGCGTTCACCGTGCTGAAGCTCATTGCACTTGTCAAACAAAGCAACCAGCCGATAAACTGCGAGCTCGGGCCCATCTGCGCATGGCATGCTCTAGAGCTAACATGTTGGCGACTCTTTGAGCATCTCAGATGTTGCACTTCAAAGGTGCCAGAGCTCTTGTTTTGCACCCAGAGCGCTTAGGCTTGAAGCGCATGGGGTTAGAAATCCAAACATGTGCGGGCTGTCTTCAGTTGCCTTGTGGTTTGGGCTCATTGGTGTGTACCCACGCTTTTGCATCACCTTTTTCAGCATGAATGTGTGAGCAGAGATCGCTTGTGCGCGGTACTTGTCGAGCAGCTACTGTCCTGGCGTCGATGCAGCCTCAACATCCTTCTCATACCTGCACCATTTCCCTCGACAAGCTAGGCATGGTTAGGTATGGACAGCCACCTGATCTCGGGCTGTAGTATGCGGATCTCCTTGGATGCTCTACGGGTTCGAATCTGTTCAACACTACTTGGTGGATTGATCAGAAGCTGCATAGCCTGGCCCTCTACTTGAGCAGTAGCCCGTTGACACAGCTTGGGCGGTTGCGCAGCTTCCTGCAGGTCAGTTCGCGGGATTCGCAGTTACCTGAGCATCTCACCCGGGCCCACGGTTAAGCTGGCTACCCCAGGCATGTCCGAGCGCGGCAACCGACGTGCATCTCAGCAAATCATGCGGCCAAAGTGGCTTCTCAGGCATCTTCAGGCTCTCAGATTGGGTTTTGCCTGTGAGTTGCCAAAAACATGGGACTCATATTTGCAGCTAAGCTAGAGCATCCTGGAGGCCCAAGTCGAAGAAACTTAACCTGATATCAAGAACACACAAGTCCCAATCCGCCGGGAGCATAAATAGCTGCATCATCAAGCAGTCGGCGCTGCTCACCCCAAAGGCAAGCACGTCAGCTGTTGCGCTTAGGCAACAAACCAAAGACTTGGTGCAAGTGATCGTTGGATCTAAGGCCAAGGCTTTTGATTCGACCTCAACTTGTGCCCCATGCGAGCCGTGGCTCCAGCTGTCCTCGCGCATTTCGGCGAATATCGTCAAAGTGCCAGCTTGGGATTCCCATGCGGAAGCTTTAGATGGCAGAGGAAATGCTGTGTTTCTCATCGTGCACTCCGCCTGCTGGTGTGGGGCCTTTGAGAGGGAGACGCGCCAGCTGCTTGACAATACAGTGATTTATGCTCCCATCGCATTGGCTGTTGGCAGGGAGCAAAAGTGCTTGAGCTTTGTGTCAGGCTTTCACCCGCTTCAGCTGGGCTGCGTTGCGCTTTCCCATTGTGCCGGTCAGCGAACCCGTGCTCGACGAACAGCGCAGCCCTTGCTTGGCGTGATGTGTAGCCCTTGACTTCTCCCGTTTACCACCTTTGGGGTGTGTCTCCGCTTCTGGCTGCATGCCATACTCATGATTCTGAGCTGCGATGTTCACAGCCGTTCGGCTTGAGTCCAAAACGCTTGCTACAATCAGAAAGCCTGCTCTCCTTTTGTCGGCCAAACAAGGTTTTGTTGTTATTTAAAAAGGTGGCATTACTACAAACAAATGCCAGCTGCAACCAAAGAAATATCCAAGTTCAATCAATGTTGAAACACCAAATCCATTCGCATTGCTCAGGGGACATGTGCCACAATTCCACCAATTAGGGTTCAGCAAGTTGTTCCACTTGGTTTAAAACATCCGATTCATGCACATCCTGCACTGCTGTTGCCAATTCTAGCCAGTATCAATTTGGAACCATCAGAGTCTGATACCAAGTTCAGATTCGGCCGGTTCATGTCAAGGGATCATTTCTACAAAGTTTGGCGATAGCACATGACACAGGCAATTTGCACAAAGATTCAGGGTCCATTGACAAGCTCGTGCGGTTTCTTCACGCAGAGGCCAGGATTCCGTCGCGGGCTGGCGATTTCCGCAACATGTCCTATTCGATTTCCTGTCGACCACATGGAGTAAACGAGCAGCGCATTTTGTGACCTCTGGGCCCCAGTGCAAAGAAGCTCGGAAGGTGTGCTCTCTTGCGCGACCTCTGCACCATGGGCTCGTACCTTTGGCCCAACGGCGCCGGTGCCAAAAGCGCCGAGGCGCTCCGGTTTCGCGGGTTTCATCTGGAGCCTGTTGTCAGCCAGGCTTGGACTTCCCATTGAGCTGCGGCGAACAGCTTGACCTAGGAACTCACATGTAGCTCACGCGAGGCAAAGTGCAAAAGACCGGACTTGGTACTCTGTAGCCTGCCTGCCGATTGACGGTTGTTTGTCTTGTTTGTTCAACACGCTGTCTACTTCGAATTGCTTTTGGGCTTTGACTTTTGGGCTTTGACGTGGACCTTTGGTTTGACTACCACCCAGTATAGGATATCCTCCTTGAAGATTGCAGACCTTTGGAGACATTGATGGACAAGAGCGCTTACCCACCAGAAACTGCCAGCATTTGGCCTCAAAAGCGGGATCTGGAGCTGGATCAGGATCGATCTTTTTGGGTCGCTCTTGGGAGAACAAGAGGTTTCCACTTTTGAGGGGAGGCTCCACAGGTTCGCTGTTTGCCAGAAGAAGATGGGGCCATAGACAGTTGCGCGGAGTCGCCAGCCAGCCCAATCACAGCGAGCTAGCTCGCGGGTTTGTTTGTCTTTCAGTTGCCAAGATCTGCTGGAAGAGGTTCGTGAAGCAGCCATCAGGCATATAATTACAGAAGGGACCATTGGCAACATGTAGGGTGACTCGCCATGTAGGAGAACACTCTTCCCCCATCCAGCCCCTGTTTGCTGACAGTCGTGCAGCTGCGACGCCGACCAGCTGCACACGGCCAGCTCGAGCTAGTGGGCGTGTCCCATTTTGAATGATCCAACTCTTTGGCGATTTGGTGCTGCCGCACGGCTAGTTGGTCTGGGCATGGTGACGCTCATAGGGGATTGCCATGATCGTTTGACAAGATCGGTCCTTCCTGAGAAGCTTCAAAGCGTCCCCAAGCTGAAGCTTTGCCGAGCTTGCCGTCCGGAGCCATGGATACAACTTACAAGCCGCCCCTCAACACGGACCGGGATGTGGAAGGGGACACAAAGTCTGTTTTTTAGGTTCAACACAAGGCACCAAACTCTGGCCACCCATGCCCGCCTTTGTTCAGCCTTTCTGGTCCTTGGTTGCTCTCGTTGGCGGCCCTAAACGGGGGTTCGCACAAACAGGTATATTTACCGGTTTATGTTGGGTGGATTTGCGTTCATCGGCGCACACCTTTCAGCACATCCGGCTTGTTTTGTTTCTGCCTCAAACAGTCAAGCCAAGCTCCTTGCAGCGTGCCCTGAGGCTTCTTTAAGGGTTCGACAAGGTGTTCTACTCCCTGGCTTAGGGATTGTGGCAGTGTAAGCCTATTCTCGATTCAACTCATGACAGGAAGCAACCTGCTGGATGGGGTACGCACTGGTAACGTATCCTTCCCTGTCAGAAAAGGGGCATGAAACACGCGTTTGGCCTGCCTTTTTCTGGGCCATTTTGGCTGTCAGTCGCTTCTGGTTGCTGTTCTCTCTCTCGGGTTTTCTCCTCCATAGGCAGTTTCTTTTCCGGTTTTGCTTTGGTCATTGGTATGGGCAAGTTCATGCTGATGAAAGGGCAAGGAGGGGGGGGGCATGGGACAAGCCGTTCGACAAGGGGAGACAAGCCTTGGAACAGATAGAGTCAATCATCAGACCACTGGCAGAAGTCAAAGACGTTATCCATGCAGCATCGTGTCGCCAACTTGGAGGACCATCCATTGTCAGGCAAGTGTATGGTCTCTCTAATTTTGCCATGGACATCCGCTTGCTCACGTAGGGTTCTCCAAACTTGCAGCCCTAAGGATTTAATTTGTCCCTGCAAAGTGTTCGCTCACTTTTCTTGCGTCATTCCCAGGCCATGAATGCTCCGAGTTGGTTTTCTTTCAGTTTGTTTGGAAGGTCCGCCTTCAAACTGAGAAGCCGCGGGCAGTTTGAAACAGTATTGTGACCACTGATCTTTTGTACCGGGCCAATGTACATGTGATTGCATTTTGATAGGTGGGCCGGATGACGATAAAGATGAAACCTCTTCCACATGAACAGCTGACAGCGGCTTTGGCTTCCAGCTGGATCCGTAGCCCAGGAGTTTCGGAAGGCCTTGGCAACTTTGCGGCGGGATCCCTACGGCCGACTGCCGCAGAAGCAGGCGGAGGCTGGCACATTTAAGTTGTGATAGCCCGTCGGTCCGAAAAGGGGCCGAGCCACCCTGGTTGCTTTTAGAGAGGCAAATTTTAGTAGCGTTTTTGTTGCCCAGTCTTGGGAAATCTCTTGCTTTGCTGTACTTGTTTGCCGTTTGCCTGTTGGGAATATTACCCAGTTGTTAGGTTGAGACTTTCTGTCTGCTTCCGTGCCCAGACTTGCCTTCCACGCTTATCACGAGAAGTAGGAACATGTGCCAACTTTCCGTCTAGTTTTTGACGGATCAGTTTCACACCCCGGAACACTGGCGATTCCTCTTAGGCCTTTCTGCTTATGCGTTGCACAAATTGATCATCCACATGTCTTTTGAAGTTGTTCGACCAGCATCCCGTTCAGATACGGATCAAGGAAGGGGCTTGCGAAGCGCACCCGGGAGCCACTCCACATGCAACTGGAAGCCTATGGTGCAATTGGGGAGGACGAGCGGGGACACATACCTACCCAACAAACTTGCTTGGTAGCAACACCACATGAAATTACGGTTTGTTTTACGGGGTGAAGCCGCTGTTGTTCAAGGATATTTCTGGTTTCAGGTTTGTGAACCATAGCAATTGGTGCAGATGGCTTCAAGTGGTTCGCAGCAAAGGGCCACATAGGGCCGAGGCATCAGGTGCGACGCAAACCATCGGCATTTTGCTGGCCCGAACGCGTGGCCCCAAGCTGCAATGTTGCTTTGCATCGCCCGTCCAGGAGGAGTCCTGAAAAAGCTAGTTTGTTCAAGGTCCAAGGTATCATAAAATGAGATGAAGCGTGCATAAGAAAAATAATCATATATATATATACATATATATATATATGTATATATATGTGTGTGCAGATTAGTTTACGGCTGCGTGAGGTTCACAAGATGTTGCGCGACCCTTTTGATTTTGTGTTCAAGGGAGACAAAGGATCCTTCTGGGTCCAGAGCTGGCCGCTGGCAAAAACCGCGAGGCTGTGGTCGCCTTCCTCGCAGCAAGCCAGCCCGCGGAGCAGGAGGGGTTCGATCCAGTCGATGCTTTTCGCATGCCAGGTTTCAACGGTGTTCAAAGGCGACTTGATCGGTCTTCCATATGTTTTCAGTTTCTTATGAGTTGAACCGTTTTCAGCCTCCTATGAAGGGAACAGCTTGCAATTTTTCGGATTAACGGTAAAGGGTTGCCCCCTGTTGCAAGCTTCCTCTAGAGGGTTCCGGTTTCCTTTTTCCGGCTTTTCGTTGTGGCTACACTGGGAAGTTCTAGTTTGAGAAACTTTTCTTCCCGCCGGCGATTGCCAAGCAACACAAGCAAGCGGGGTGATTTCAAGAACGAAAGCAGCACGGGCTGGGAACAGTTTGCCCAGGCCGTGAACAAGAAGGATATCCCCCCCTCCAAATTCAAGGAAGGGTCACTACACTCGACAAACCTTTGTTCCCACCAAAGCAAATTAACCTCTTAACAGGTGAGCATTTGCCAGTCACTGCTGTTGTCGCGAGCTTCCCAGGCGTACCTTTTTGGGGGAGCACGCTTGCGTTGAAAGATGTTTGCGCGGACTGGGGCAGTCAGTCTGGGCCGCTCTTACTCGTTGGATCTTCCTTAGAAAGAACTACGGGACAACACGTCGCTTCTAGCGCCGAACAAAAAGACCTATAACTCCCATTTGGAGGGTGCTGAGAGGAAACCGAGAAAGGGCGAACCAAGCAGTTCAGGTGCCCCGCCCAACAGCTTGACGCCAGCGCCATGGATTCTTCTGCCATCAGGAGCGCCTGGGCTGGAGCTTTACCCCGGAGCTGGACTCCTTTACCAAGCCCGGGGCTTAGGGCAACTCTCGGCGAGCGGAATCCAAGATTCCGCCGACCAGAAACCAGCAACATACCAAAACATACCCACTGGCGACATATCCCATTTTTCCTCGGCTAAAAACAAGCTCTTGCCGTCTTCAGGGGGGGTCCTTATTTGCCCAGGGTGTCAAAAGGTAACCCGTGGCCCGGTGGGGCAAACGCAGCCAGCGTGCTGCCAGATTGGGCCGGGCTGTTTGCCAGGGTGTGGGAATGAGGGTTGGCTGCCACTTCTGCAATGCCAGTGTACTTCCTCTTCGAATGCAAACGATGCATTGAGCAAGGCCTCAAATGATATCACAGAAGTGGGCTGCTGCCTTGCTGGCAGCTGATTGTGGGGACGGCATGTGCTTCGTCTGAGAAGAATCCAAGCTGGACATGAACGTCCTTCCCCTTTAGTGAGGCTAAATAGGGGTGTGCTGTAGGCTGCGCTGATATGGTTCTTTGATTCCCCGACGTTCTGTCAGGCTGCTGCCCTATATCATTTGCGCCTTCAATGCCATTGACCGGGACTGCGATGAGGTCGTCTCTGACCAGGATGGCTGCGAAAGAAGCAAGTTGCTGTACCTTTCCATCAGGGTTTCGGGAACGCGCATAGCTCGGCACGTGTCCATAGTTGCACGCTGGCAGTTTTGTGTGTGCTGCTTTACACATGTGTCTGTTTGTGTGTGTGTGTGCGCTTGGTCTGCACGTGCAATGTGTTTGCTGGAATGCGTGTTTGTTTTGTGCTTATGATGTGTGTTCTTCCCTGTGTGTCCGCGTCTGTGTGTTCCATTCTGTGGCTGTGTGGTTCTGTATTTGTTTGTCTCGTTGGTCGCTTGCTCGGATTGCAAGCTTGCTAGCTTGCTTTCTTGTTTGTCTCTCTGTCGTTTGTTTGGTTGTTTGTTTGTTTGCGTGCCTGCTTGTTTGTTAGTCTTACACCTGCATGTTTAGGTCTAGGTGTTTGTGTTGCTTGGTTTGTCTTTCTCTGTTTTCGCTGTTTGTTTGTCTCTGCATCTCTGTTTCTCCATGTGCTTGCTTTCGCGCTTGCTTGCTTGTTGCTTGCGGTTGTTGGCGTTTTGTGTTTGTTTGTTCATCCGTGCGTCGCCGGTTGTTTGTTTGTTCGCGTGTTGGTTTGTTTGGCTTTTTCTTGTTTTGGTTTAGTCTGGTCTGGTCCGTTAAGTTATTTGTGTTCTTGCTGTGTGTGGGATTGTGTTGCTTGATATACAGTTACTCATTGTCACTAATAGCGGTGCACAAATACAATGAGCTGTCATTCGAACCACCAAACAAAGCGAAATCCACTTACACATGTTGTATTCTTCGAGCTGTTGCGTGTCATTTAGAAGGGATTTCTGGGTTAGCAACTCTGTGTTGGTGGTTTGTGTAGCTCAATGTTGATACAATGTCGTTGCAAAACAAACACACAATTTGGTTGAAATCGATTGGATTATGTAGTTGAGTAGTGAACATTTGCCAGTGCTTATATCTAATGGTTATGACAGAATGGACGCAGCTTCAGTCGGAATCACAAATACACAGCATTTGTTCAGTATTGGAACAACGTGAGCTTCATACATCAGCTGATGATTTAAAGTTCAATCTTCATAAAACAACAAGCGTGAGGTATGTGAAATGCAGAAGCAACGTGAAGAAGCGAGCGTGGCAATCGTTGTGAACTTGCGGAGTGTTGTATGTTTGTTGCCGTTCAACAAATGTGCAACAGCAAAGCGTCAGCATATCAGAAGTGCATGCGCAGCAAAACAGTACTCTATGGTAATCTATATTTTAGTTGCTTATTTGTGAGCATGGCTGGGCTGCCTGATTGCGCGTTCTCTGGCTTGCTTGTCGGTTTGCTTGCCTGTTGTTTGTATATGTGTGTGTGTGTTTGTTTGCTTGCTTGTTGCTTTGCTTGCTCGTTGGCTTGCTTGCTCGTTGCCTTGCTCGCTCGCTCGCGGGCTTGCGGGCTTGTGTGCTTGTTTGTGTGCTTGCGTGCCTGCGTGCCTGCCTGCGTGCTCTCTTGCTAGCTGCTAGCTCGTTGTTGTTGCAGCTGCCTCTGTAGGTCGTTTTCCCTTCAACCGCAGAAGCGCCTCTTCCCTTCTCTGTTGCCCAGTGGTGCCCCTTTTTCCTTCTTTTTTTTGGGGGGTTTTTTGTTCCCCTTCAAATTCAACCAACCAAAAAACGGGTGTTTTTTTTTTCCTTTTTGTTGGGAAGGGTTCCCTTTGTTTAAATTCAACCAACCCAAAAACGGGTGCCCTTTTTTCCCCATGGAAATCCACTGGGCAGAGCCTTCGCCCTGGGCCGGCAGAGTCGCTTGGTCGATGCCTGGAGGAGTTCGACGCCTGGATGGAGCAACCCAAGCTGGAGCAGCGGATCGAGGAGTGGAGCGATACAACCAGTTTCTGCTCAAGCAAGGATTCCAGGTACCACCAGCAACTGCTAGGCAACTAGGAAACTAAATGTACTTTTGAGTGTATATATATATATATACGTTTCCTCCAGTTTGTGTGTGTGTGTTGTGTTTGTGTGTGTGTGTTGTTTGTGGTTAGTTTTAGGTTGGGTAGTCAAAGCCATAGATCAGGTATCTTCCGGGCAACAGGGCACATGACTAGCAGCGGTGTTGCCAGCTAATCGACACATGATGAACAAGGAGACCAGCGGCCTACCTTCCTGTCAGCTTTCATGTTAGAGGAAAGCGTCACAGAGCGGAGATCCCTTACTTCCCATTTGGAGGCCAAAAGATTCAATGTGCACCACTTCATGTTGGTCACCTTTGCATCCCAAATTGGTCCAAAGGTTTGATGCACAGCGAAATCGATCCGCTAGCTCTATGACAAAGCAGTACTTGCTCGCACATGGATCTCCCAGAAAAACCTCAAGGATCCACAAATACCCGGGTCTCATGCTCGCTTTGCGAGTCTCCCGCTTTAAATGGACTCACAGTGTCTGGCAGAAGCCATGGGAAGCCCTTCTGTGGATTTGCGCGCCCGGGTGCGATTTTGGGACGAGCACGCAAAGATGCAAGCAGCAAATGGTTCAACAGATTGACCTCAGATGCGACCCCTTAGAAGAGATCTTCAATCCCAGGGCGGTGTTTGCACCCTTTGGGTCCCTTGTTGGGTGCATGCCTTATGGGTGTTTTTTAGAGAACTTGGATGCGACCTGCCAGGATTCCCAGTGGGGCTTTGCCGACTTAAAGAGCGTGGAGGCAGGATGGGAGTCGTGGGCCAAACTCCTTCCTTCGCTCAGTGCAGCTTATCCAAGTTGGAGGCCCAGCGGTCTTTCCTCACGGGGTCTAAGCCGTTGGCTTGGAGCCACTGGGAGCCTCGCGGAAGGGGCGGTAGTTCCCTTGAAGATCCGAGGCTCTCGCCAGGCCTTGAGTTTGGAGCGCCTTCCACATAGTGGAACTTCATTTCCGGACGATCAAAAGTTCATAGAGCATGGAACAGGTTTTGCAACAGCCGGCCAGCTCTGAGCGCTATGATAAGAGTTGTGCAGAATTTCTTTCTTGAACAATTACAAGTGTGGGCACTGACAACTACCTGATATGCCGTTCGTTTGGCCCAAGAGCATTGCCGGTACTGAGGTCATGAACCCTCCCCATAAACTTCGCCGGCAGGCCCTAGCTCCTAAGCAACCTTCTGGTGGCCATGATTCCTACGCACACCCCACCCATATCATCATTTGTCTCACAACCAGATGAGGTTCATCTTCTTCAGAGGCAACCAAGGCCATCTGACCCAAGCAAACCCTTTTGACCTATCCATTTGGCAGCCATAGACCCACCCGGGTTTCTAGCGGATCTTCACTACCTCCAAACCGCCCCAATGCAACATGAGGTAGATATGCGCCCAAGTTTTTGAGCGGTACCCCCAAATTATTGTTTAATGGAACAAGGGGTCGCTGGTTCAGGGCATCACCGCCCGCGTCCCAAGGCCTCGCTGCCTGCGCTGTGCCTGCGCCTCGCAGGGCCCCAGGGCCTGGCTTGGGCGCCCAGCGAGGCGCTGGAGCACGCCTTGAGGGTGCAGGCCTGCAACTTGCTACAAAAAGGAAAATGGAACACACCCACACACCTTTATATATACACCTTTATATATAATCAAAACTGTTCCTGAATACATATATATATATATACACTGAATATATATATATATATAGGTCATTATGTACTGCCTACCCGATGGAGGCCAAGCAGTTTGAGGCCTTATGGACAAACTCTTTCAAGACCCTCTTTTGGACTCAGCCTCTCAGGTGTCATGTTCTGGTGTCGGGAAGGTTTCTCCACTTTGGATTTTGACGAGGACACGGTGCCATACTAATCCGGCGAATCCTCTGACGTGTATGAATCCGCCGGTCAAAGGCAACCGCCCGCGATCATTTGGAAGGTTTTATTGATAAACAGTTTACATATCAATTCCTGCTGTAAGTGTTATCAGCCGATTTGTTGGGTGTGGGGCAGGTTCTTGGAGGGCTCACTTCCTGAGTGCCTGGACTGGTTTTGTTCTTTTGGGAAGACTGTTTTAGTGGCAACCGAAAAGTTTGACTTGTCTGGCCAATCCTCTCAGGAAGTGAGAGGGTGTTTGGTGTGTTGGCCCAATGATGCACCAGCACTCCCTCTTCTGCGTTTCTGGCTGGTGGTTTTTTTCCTGACCGGGGAGTTTGAGGAATGGGTCAATTTGCTGTTTGAAGCGTGCAGTACAGCTGATTGCGCTCGAGCTCTGGTAGCCTTTGGAGGATGTTATGCCGCCACGCCACCCCACCCCCCCGCCCCCCCCCCCCCCCCAAGCACGCAGAACCCAACTTCATCTTCAGGTCAGCTTTGCTGCAGACTAGTCACAAGTCGGCTTGTGCCGTGCCCTGAGGTTTGCATCATGGAGCACATCAAGCACATTCACTTCCAAGCTTGCAGCTCAGAACAGACAACTGACCATCCCTCACCACGGGATCAGGGCTACTTTGACCCAAGTTTAGACAAATACGGTGGTTTCTACACCTTTACGGTGTCCCTTTCTCTCCAAGGAGTCCCCCCCGCGCGGGAGGTACTGTAGATCATCCTGTAAGTGGCCGAGTTGCATGAGGAAATGTTGCCTGTGCCATTCCGCTTGATTTGCTTGAGGGCTGTGTAAGATGTAAGACAAATTATTGAATTCGTATCGTACTTCCCTTGCATCAGGTCTGACATTGGCACGTGACCCCTTGTCGGGAGTGGGCATCGCTCATGTTTCTTCCAGCTACCATCAGCTACCCCTTGCGTGAGCCAAGAATTGGCCTCAGCTCAGATGAAACCAGTTGCATTTGCCTTTGATTCGGGTTCGAAAGGACACGCATCCCGGGGAGGACCCATAGACCATGAGCCGGTCCCGCTTTCGGGTCCCATGCGACAGACTGAACAGGAGCCAGGGAAGGCGGACGTAAGAGGCTGCCCCACCTTCCTCAGTCCCTGTCTTCACACAACTTCAGCGGTTGAATCCTACGAGGCAAGTGGCTCTTGTCCTTTCCACGTTGCAACAGCCAGTTGGCGATGGATCCTTTCTGGGCGACCGGCTCAGGCGGGGGTCAAGTCCATGTCTCTGGAGGACTGCGTGCTTGCCGCCATGAAGGCCGCGAGGGCGTGCCTGTGAGTTTGGAGCCATTTCCCAAAATGCGAAGCTTCTTTTGAGCTCCTCAAACTAGGAGCCCAAGTCAACAAATCCCTGGTCAGAACCACGGTTTGGCGTGTGATTGTTTGGAACCCTTGATGGGGCCGGTTTGTGGCATTTTGGGTGGTCATCTCTGCAAGGATGAGCGGACCCCAAAAAAGGGGGTTACATCCAACGGGGGCTGGAAACGATCGAGGGGTCTTTTCCCATGAGCTCCGTGGTTATGGAATTGCGTGCTGCCTGCTGCCCAACTTTGCCAGGTATTTACAGAGCTTCGGATGAGGATCACATGAGGCACAGGAAAACATGTCAGCAAGGCTCAGGCTGAGCCGGGCCGCGGATAAGTGATGTACAAATCATGTCATTGGATAGGAAAGGTCTCACACTTGCAGCGAAGCTGCCCAGGGACCGCACGGGTTTGGATCCCAGTCTCCCAATTCTCAGATACCAACTGCCGCAGACTTGATCCGTTACCATGATAAGTGTTTTGTGCGCTGGTTGAATTAGGGCCGCACCCGGGGTCCAATCGACGGGATTCCTGTGAGACATGTCGCCGAGCGCCTTTGTGCGAAGCACAAGGCGACTCGTGGATTGAACAGGTCGGCCCGAAGGCGCGCGCAAGTATGAGGGCGTGAGGGGCTTTTGCCGGGCGCTGCTCTGCTGAACTGCAGGCAATCGGATTTTAAGTCATTTCTGGGTGGCCGAAAATTGGGATTTGTGGCCCCAAAATGGACTCATTTGCACAGGCAGAGGGACTGTCGAACACTGTCCAGCCTAGAAGTTGTATGCAGTGATAATGCATGAGACCTCCAGTCAAGATCATCGGTATGGACCACGTTTGGGAAGCAACATTATAGATTGTTTTGTTGCACGAGTTTGTTTCCCGTTGGCCAATCGTGAAAAAACACATAGTTTGCAGATGTCCATCCTGTTTGTGGCTGATTGCAGACTGTTCTAGCCCTCATAAGGTCGACAATTGACAAGCGAAAACATAATATCGATATCGTTTCAGATTGGCAGCACTGATATTGCCCAACTTGATTGTACAGATGGATCTTGTGAAACAAACTTGGCTCATAGGCCCCTGAGCCTTTCAGCAACAATCCCAGGCACGGTTTATGTCTCTGGGATAGCCTGTTGGCTTCTTTCCGACGCCCTTCCGGACCACAGCCGCAATCTCACCGCTTCGAAAGTGCTAAAGTCGTACCTTTGGTGCATTTTGCTTGGATGTTAGGACTTTAACTTTTTGACAACTGATGGGGTTTTCCGTATCAGACCACTAAAAGTTAGTCACTTTCAGCAGGGGATCAGATTCCGCAACCGAGATACAGTTGTTCTTTCGCGAAGTGCAGCAATCTCAGCCATGTCGCGCCTGGATGACCTGGCGCACGCTTTGGCGGGGCTGGGTACTCGCTTGCACGACCAGCGCCTGGTGGCGCGGCCCCGAGACGTGGAGGAAGTGGCGGCGTGCGTCCGAGCGGCGAATGGGGCGAAGTGCTCTGTCAGTGTGGTGGGCGGCAACTGGTCCGAAAAAAAATGAGCCGCGTAATTGGAAGGTGAGGAAATGACATGTCCAATTTCATTTCCATCCATAGATACAGGGAGCAGCCTTGCAATATCTTATGGAATTTGGGTACATTTGTTTCACGCCGTGAAGTGATGACTCAACTGGGCACAAGATGAGTCGCGGCCTTTTATCGGTAGAATGAGCTCACTGAAAGAACTGATTCTCAAGTGTGGCACGGGAGCATGCTGAAGATGTAAATGAATGTGTTTGTTGCGCCAACATTGGGATATACATGTTGATAGAATTCTTGATGCATTTGCCATTCCTTCGAAAAGAATCACCTGCCACCAACTTAGTTTTGTTCAATGATATTCCAGTGTTCCTCAAGACAGGGTTAACACAAGCTGCCTTGCCTTCTGCCCACGTGCAGCTTTTCAGTTCGGTTCAGTTTCCAAACGGCCATGAGGCTGCTATGTGTTTGATTTCTGACAGCAGTGACAATTAGAGAATGCTTTGCTATATTGAATAATCACGACGCTAGTCTTCTCCCTCGGGGTCATAACTCTGACGCATTGTCCAGTTGAATGCATCATCAGAGGGTCGCTGCATGGAATGTATCGGCAAATGTCGGCAAGTCACTTTTGCAAGGCACTTGAGGTCAATCCTGCTTGGTGGGCTTTCCCTTGTTTGGAAGGAAGCCCATTGATCATGTTCGCTTGTGGGCCATGCTTTGATGTCCGGGTGCCCAAGGTAACCACAGCGGCTATGGGCAGACGGGGGATCTTGTGCTGGAGATGTCGAACTTTACTGAGATGCAAAGAGAGGGCAGCTGTTTGCGTGTAGGCCAGTCCGAGGTCAGCAGAGCACCCTGGACCACCCGAAATCATGTGCGAAGTCTTTGACTGGCGGGGACATGGGGTAATCTCTTTTATCCTCCCAAGTGAACCATAACCGCAGTGATGTCTGTGTCTCGTTTGAGCTGCTACGCACCCAGATGGAATGTGCTCTTCTTTGAGGACACGGATGTTGAGATTCAGTTCATCAGGGGAGCAAAATGCCCAGAGAAGCTTTCATGCAGTGCAATCTCGGGCGCGCAGATCCACAACTCGGGCCCTTTTCTGTGGCATGTCATTTTTTAAGGGGAATCCCCAAACGCCGCGGTATTAATCCAGGGATCTTCAGGCACATTTCCTTCTGTGACCCCGCCCGCACATAACTGTTGCCGAAGCTTTACATGCTTCCCGGCCGGAATTGGGCAGTGAGCTTTGGAAGAGCCCGTGGTTCAAATCGCAAACCACCAGTCACTCATTTAAGATTGCCAGATAGGGGTTACTCTCCGGAAAAGTCCGGGGGGAGTGACACCAACAACTGTTCATACGATCCTCCGCAAATCCCGAAACGGGCCTTCTGCAATGGGATTTGGCGGCTGGATTTTTTGGGCCAGCCACTTGTTTGGGGGGGTATACGTAGACCCTGAGACCCAGATTCTGGCTTTTTGGAGTGTTTAGTTCCCCTCACTTAGCCGCTTGTGGCTAAGTTGACCCTGCAACCAAGATTCTGGCCCAGATTTTTGGGGGTACACGTGGACGAGACCCAGAATCTGGAAGACCATTTCTGGCCCAACTCTCCTGTTGCGTTCCCCTCACTTCACTTGGGTCCAGGTTTCGGTCCATGTTTCTGTTGCCCAGGGCAATCCATTTGGGGGTTATCCTATTTCTGACCCCCAGCCACTTGGCGCCACGCGCCTCGCTCGCAGGCGGTGGGGTCACCTTGGAGCCGCTGGCGCTCTTCGCGCAGGCGCAAGGCCTGGCGGCGCCGCTGGGCACCGCGCCAACTGTGGGCCTGGGCTTGGTGCTGCAGGGGGGCGTCGGCCACCTCACACGAAGCCGAGGCCCGGGCGCGTGCGCTCGTGGCGCTCGCTAAAAGGGCGCTCGTGGCCGGTGGTTCAAAAGGGGCCAAAGGGTTTGGTTGGAGGAAAATCTACAGGACATGGCCCCCCAAACGCCCGACAATCCGCTGAGTTCCTGTGGAAAACACATTTTGTGACCCAACCCTTTGAAAGATGGGCTTGTGGCACAGGCAGTTCCAACGATTTGGGGCTTCACCCTATTTGGGTTTGTCTCAACCCATAACGGCAAGCTAAAAGGAAGCCAACCACCTGAAGCAATCGAAACCTCCCTCTGTGGTCAACGACCCTGGCAGATGAGTTCATAGGATGTAGAGCCCAGGTGGATGTCATGTTTACCAAAACATTTACATTTGTCAAAAATACGGGACATGTAAGAAGAGGGTCAAGCAGGGTTCCACTTTTCCCAGACTCGCACCCAAGCTGATGAGGGTATATAGCCATCGTCAGGTTGCTCAATAAAACATGTTGTATGCCTTCTTCCACAGCCTTTCTAGATGTAAGGGGGGCTTTCCCGAAACATTACGTATGTTCCCCCTCAACATTTGTTGCGGGGTTGTGTTGACTTTGAGGGTCCGCGGGAAGCCTTCTGTGGCGTTGACACGCTGCTGTTTCTGGTGACCTTTGGTGGCTTCATGCTGACATGTGAAGGGTACAAATTCCAGGAAGCATGCATAAACAGGTTGCCGATCAGGAAATTTGCAAACTGATGTGTATGGTAGGCCAAATGGCATGACTGGCATACATTCCCCGTTAGATTGGGGAGCGCTGGGCTTTGCATTTTTGTTTGTAATGGCTTGTTCCGCAACTCAGGGTGGCGTACAAGTTGAGAATGAAGTAGAGGAAACGTACGTTGCGGCCACCCTACTCTGAATTGCCCACCCCAGAGAATGCATCCTTGTGCATTTGCAGAATCGAAGAGCTTGCCAGCGCGGCACTGCCCATGAATCTCAGTCCACTGTATCCCCTTTTCCAGAGGGCTCCTTTGGGTGAACGTGTGGCATCATCTCGTGTGTTGGCTCTTTGCCACACTGAACATAGCACAGACAAGGTTCTACCCCGCGCTGCGCCTCATGCCAGGCATGTCGGTGGACTCGGTGCGCGCCTTGCAACTTGTGACCTGCACCGGCCGTGTCGTCGAGGTGTCCGGCGACGAAGAGCCGGAGCTCTTTGCGGGGGCCAAGGGCTGCGCGCCCAACTTTGGGGTCGTGGTGTCCCTGACCCTGGAGGCGTGTGTGTGTGTGTGTGTGCGCGCGGCCGTGTGTGTGTCCTTTTCTGGTGGGGGGGGGGGGGGCGGGGGGGAATAGAATGACTACATTGCTTTCGATCTAGGAGAAAGACAAGATGGATGTTTCGTAGTTGGACACGCTTTGCGCAACTACAGATGAAGAGAACAAGGTGGTTCAGTTATTCAGTATTGTGTTTCATCAAGTTATGCACCTCGTGAACATCTACTTGTATGTTCGGTTTGCCGAAGGGGCCCAGAAGGACCCTTGCGTCGAAGTGTCGAGTCCTCCGAATGTGACACCATTTTGTCGCAGTGGCAGGGTCCCCTGAAAGCACAACTGATTCAACTTTACATCATGCCGGCAACAGGACACCATCGTCACATCAACATGAGTTTGGCGGTTGAACTTCTCCAAATGTTTTGAACATCGTTTGTATAGTCCTTTTTACCTCAAAGAGTGGATCCCAAATCGCCTCCAACCCGTCTGGATTTTCATGTTCCACCGGTCGGCTTTGTCCCAGGCAGCCCCCTTCCGACTTTGCGCCTCGGCACGGCGCGTCTTCCCCGCGTCCGGCGCAGCGTTGCGGACGTACATGGCCTGGGCCGCCAGCCTCCCGAACGACTGCAGCGCTGACTGCTGCCTGCAGCTCGGAGTGTCAGCGGATTGCTGAGTTTGCCGCAGTGGTGAGGGGGTTTGCGGCCGTTTTCGGTTGGGTTGGAGCCTTTTTTTTGTAAAATGGGATCTGTCATTGGTTTGACACATGGTCACAAAATGGTTGGAAGTCTTCTGGCATCCCTGCAAGTACCTTCCAAAGAGCCCCAAACAATTACTGACATCCCCGCGTGTCCAAAGCCTTTGTCTTGATTTAGTTCTGTTGAGATCAGCACAAGCTGCTTGGCAACACCGCTACCATCGCAAGGGACATTTGGGAGAGAAGCCACGAACAGACTTTTGTGCCGGTAATATCACCATTTGTGTGTGGATTTGGACGGGCTACGAAAGGCTATCCGACCACATATTATTTGTCCATCAACTTGTTTGCCCCCTTTCGAACGTCTCTTTTGGGCAGCAGACCAAGGCTGCAAACAACGGTGTGTTGGGTTCCTTCGGGCACTAGAAGGGTTCCAACGAGGTTGTCGAAGCATTCGTCTTGCTGACTGGTGCCTGCAATAGTAAGCCTCCTGACTGGGAGAATATCCGAAAGCCTCCATTTGCTTTGCTTCAGACATCCGGACCAAGGATATCAAGGGTTGGACATACTAGTATTTTGCGTCGTGGCTTTTTGCCTAAAATCATGCAGGAAAGGACGAGAAGGCCTAGGTTGGGGCTTGAACTACGACCATGAACCGGTAGGTAGTTGAAAAGAAGCAGGAACACGCAGGATTGGAGAACAACACATCACCAGGTTTAGTAAGCTGCCGTCCAAACATGCAAGTCACACGCACGCGCGCCATTCACGCACACGGCGGCTCTTCATCTTGCTCCTTGGCTGTTGCCATCCACGTTGCTGAGCCTCCAGACCACATCAGCATGACCTTGGTTTGGGTGGCTTGCATGAGTGATTGGTTGGTTGGGCCAAGCACACATCTTTCCAGGACACTGGACTTGCCTTCACAACAACGGGCTCCAGGCTGAGAAGTTCCAAACGTTGTGGGGGATTGTTAAGGAGATGCCCTTTTGTTCTTTTGCCGGACAGTACTTGGCAAAAATTGACTCACCATTGTCTACTGGCAACACTTCCAACACTGCAAACAGAAGCCTTAGTGTTCAGGGGAGGTTCGTTACACTCAGGTCGCCGCGGGGTTCCAAGATCCACTCTGCTCCGTTTGCTTTCTCAGGTACTTCAGGGACGAGTCCGCCCTGCCCGGCGAAGGGGACCTCCTTATGGGAGTCTCTTGCCAGTCCTTAGTCGCTGTTTTGTTGGCCGATCATAGCTTTTGCCCCATCTAGTTTTGACACGCAGTGTGTGTGTCTGTGTGTGTGTGTATGTGTGTTTGTGTGTTTGTGTGTTTGTGTGTTTGTGTGTTTGTGTGTTTGTGTGTTTTTGTGTTTGTGTGTTTTTGTGTTTGTGTGTTTGTGTGTTTGTGTGTGTGTTTATGTGTTTGTGTGTTTGTGTGTTTGTGTGTTTGTGTGTTTGTGTGTTTGTGTGTGTGTTGTGTGTTTGTGTGTTTGTGTGTTTGTGTGTTTGTGTGTTTGTGTGTTTGTGTGTTTGTGTGTTTGTGTGTTTGTGTGTTTGTGTGTGTGTGTGTGTTTGTGCGTTGTGCGTTTGTGCGTGCGGCGTGCGTGCGTGCGTGCGTGCGTGCGTGCGTGCGTGCGTGCGTGCGTGCGTGCGTGCGTGCGTGCGTGCGTGCGTGCGTGCGTGCGTGCGTGCGTGCGTGCGTGCGTGCGTGCGTGCGTGCGTGCGTGCGTGCGTGCGTGCGTGCGTGCGTGCGTGCGTGCGTGCGTGCGTGCGTGCGTGCGTGCGTGCGTGCGTGCGTGCGTGCGTGCGTGCGTGCGTGCGTGCGTGCGTGCGTGCGTGCGTGCGTGCGTGGTGCGTGCGTGCGTGCGTGCGTGCGTGCGTGTGTGTGTGCGTGTGTGTGTGTGTGTGTGTGTGTGTGTGTGTGTGTGTGTGTGTGTGTGTGTGTGTGTGTGTGTGTGTGTGTGTGTGTGTGTGTGTGTGTGTGTGTGTGTGTGTGTGTGTGTGTGTGTGTGTGTGTGTGTGTGTGTGTGTGTGTGTGTGTGTGTGTGTGTGTGTGTGTGTGTGTGTGTGTGTGTGTGTGTGTGTGTGTGTGTGTGTGTGTGTGTGTGTGTGTGTGTGTGTGTGTGTGTGTGTGTGTGTGTGTGTGTGTGTGTGTGTGTGTGTGTGTGTGTGTGTGTGTGTGTGTGTGTGTGTGTGTGTGTGTGTGTGTGTGTGTGTGTGTGTGTGTGTGTGTGTGTGTGTGTGTGTGTGTGTGTGTGTGTGTGTGTGTGTGTGTGTGTGTGTGTGTGTGTGTGTGTGTGTGTGTGTGTGTGTGTGTGTGTGTGTGTGTGTGTGTGTGTGTGTGTGTGTGTGTGTGTGTGTGTGTGTGTGTGTGTGTGTGTGTGTGTGTGTGTGTGTGTGTGTGTGTGTGTGTGTGTGTGTCCATCCCTGTTGCCAAGGGCTGATCTGAGTTCTTTGTCAGACTCGCAAGCTGGGAGTCTTTGCAAATTGTCGAGGTGGTGCCGGCTATCCGGACTCTCCATTTCTTTTCCAAGTATGTGGAGTAGGCCACAGCCATCCTTGGGTCTAGTCTGTGGCCCTGACGAGTAGGGCCCAAGGATGACGAAACTCCACTCAATCAATTAAAGTGCATGTGTGCCCACTGGGCTTGATCCTGACCCTCGCAGAAGAAATGAGACACAACAAGGACCGAGAGAGGGGGGATTTCACAAGTGTGATCCAGGCAGTAGTTCGTTTAACGGGCTGCCTGCGGTAGGATAGCCTACTGTGTTTGATTGAGCCTTGCCATCGGCTCGCGCGCAGCATTGGTCATTCAGTTGACCCTCAGATGTCAGTTTTGACCCTTGAGGTCCCCAGGTTTGTTTGGAACTTGCCTTTGTTCCGCCAAGCTTTGGGAGTCTTCCCACTCAGTTGCCATTTCATGGTTGGTGCTGTGAAGCACAACGGAGACTGCCAGCGATGTCTATCGCCTCAGAAACCAGCATGCCCATTGGGTCTGAGAGGCCGTAATCCCCCCGATGTATTTTTTGCTGCTGTCTAGGCCGCCGTTGCAATTTGCCATTTGGACCTGCAGCAAACCGTCGGTTTTTCTGGCCCGCGGGTGATTCAAATACCCGGCCGGGGCCCCGGCGTTAGTGGAGCATCTCGGATCTGTTCGTTCTTTTTGTTGTTTTCTTGTTCTTTTTCTTTTCCCTCGCTTTGCGCAAGATCCCTTTGGCCCTTTTGCAACGATTCTCTTTGCAAGCCGCGGTGACTGCGGCGCGTCTGGCTCTGTACAGGTCACAGGGTTTGGAGCCTTTTCACGTCTTGTTCATTTTAGTTTGGCCCGCGGGCGTTTTACACACCCGGCTGGGGCCCAGCGGTGGGATTTGGGTTCTGCGCAGGCTGCAATGTCTATGGCGAAAGAAGTGCCGCGTGGCTGATTGTGTGTGTCCATCCCTGTTGCCAAGGGCTGATCTGAGTTCTTTGTCAGACTCGCAAGCTGGGAGTCTTTGCAAATTGTCGAGGTGGTGCCGGCTATCCTATCCGGACTCTCCATTTCTTTTCCAAGTATGTGGAGTAGGCCACAGCCATCCTTGGGTCTAGTCTGTGGCCCTGACGAGTAGGGCCCAAGGATGACGAAACTCCACTCAATCAATTAAAGTGCATGTGTGCCCACTGGGCTTGATCCTGACCCTCGCAGAAGAAATGAGACACAACAAGGACCGAGAGAGGGGGGATTTCACAAGTGTGTGTGTGTGTGTGTGTGTGTGTGTGTGTGTGTGTTTTTGTGTGTGTGTGTGCTTTTGTGTGTGTGTGTATTTTTGTGAATATGTGTCTGCGCGGGTGTGGGTGTGTGGGTGTGTGGGTGTGTGGCTGTGTGTGTGTGTGTGTGGGGTGTGTGGGTGTGTGGGTGGGTGCGGGTGTGGGCGTGTGGATACAAGCCCCCGGCAGACACTTTAAGTGTGAGATTCATCTTCGCTCTTCTCGGGCCTCGAGAAGCAGTTTGGATTGACTCTTGGCGGCCGTGTAGAAAATCGCCAAAAAACAAAACACGCGCGTTTCGGACCATTTGGCGGCCCTTTCTTGATTCCGCAAGGCGCCGCGTTGTAGCGGCGTGCTTGCGCTCAATACAATGCCCAAAACGATGCCAAAGCGAACTCCCTGTGCGGGGGATGGCCAATGTTTTTATGAAGAGCGGCTTGTAGTTTGTTGCCGCTTCCCTGATTCCTGCTCTTTCTCCAGTGTCCTGCTGCTCCTCCTCGTCGTTCTGCTTCTTTTGCTTGATGCTCTTCTTTCCGTGTTCTATTTGTTGCTTCCTGCTCCAGCTCTTCCTCTGGTTTGCTTTACTTTTTCTTTACAGAACCCTAATATTAGATTAGACGTTCGCAGAGGATTCGCGGAGGGGCGACGCGAAAGTTTGTATATGTATACATGTGTCTTGTTGTAGGCATATAGTACTTATGTACATGAGAAATGTAGAATGCATACATATATATATATATATCTAGCATTCATATTCAGATCAGGGTGCGCAGCCCCAGGTCTACGACTTTAACTTCGATGCCGGCGCCTCGGGAGAAGTTCCGCTGGAGAAGGTGCTGTGGCAGACTTCCAGGGAGAGTCTGGGGCCCAAGGAGCTCATGGCCCACGAGCCATATCTCCTAGAGCAGCCGGAGGAGGGGGGCTCCAAGAAAACTCAAGCTAGCGGAAACCGTTGGTTGTGCTGCGTTTGTGAAGTTGAAAAGCTTCTGATTTTTTGCGTAGCTGGTTTTTATGGGAAAGGGTGTGGGGGCATACTTGCAGGGATCCACAGGGGAAGCGCTTGGAGCTTTGGGGATTTGTGGGGCTTTGTGCCGTTTGCAAGCTCGCAACGTGGGACCCAAAGGTGGCACAGGATTGAACATCACGTGCCTGGGCCCGCCCTCGTGTTTGCCCAATTCGTTGAGGCCCCTGTTGCTATACACCATTGACGCCGATCTATCCCAGTTTTGCTTTTATAGTTGCCGTCCTGAAGCACATCTCTGGCAGGGCATTTGCAAGACGGGGTGCCTCAGCACGCGGAGCTTCTTCGTGCGAGCGTGTTTTGTCCGGAAAGACGCAGACATTGCGGACGTGCTGGTAGAGTGCCTCGAACAGGCCGGGACTGGTGGGAAGGGTTTTTTGGAGGCCCCCGGTCTTAAGCAAAATCAGGTGGAAGTGCTTGAACACACGGACAAATGTCATTTTTCACTACACAGGGGGCGCAGCGCATATTGTGAGACCCCTTCAGGGCGGTAAACGATCCCATCATTGAATCATGATGGAGGCTATGGTTAACGAATCCCTAATCCTCATGGATGTGTATACCATCGCCTTTCATGGTTGGCTATATCCATTGCTCCACTTTGGCTCAGGTGATCTTGGAATTGCGAGCCTGATCTAGCATCATGCCCATTGCACAGCACTAGTTCGATCGCAAGATTCCAGATATTCCTCGAAGTCCTGCAAAATTATGGTTGTATATTTGCAACATGGACTATCTCTCTTGGCTTCTACTCGACAAAAAGGCCGAACCTGCCCAAGTGATCCTGAATAGCAAGAGCAGCGCTGGTCATTGTTTCTTTTCATCTCATGAATGAGAAGCGTTTGGTGCTGATGTTAAGTCGCTATTGTGAATCGAGGCCCCGAGCCGGCACTGTTTTGTGCACTTCCAGCACACGGGCGGCGCCGTGGCCCAAAGCAGCGGCGTCTTCGCAGCGGCGGAGTGGTCCGTGGTGATTTCCGGGGCCTGGGAGGAGAAGACGGAGGCGAGGGCACCACGTGGTGCAGTGGTTCCAAACATGGCCGTGTCATGGTTACTAGTTGGGAAACTGCTTTTGCATTTTGGCTTATTGTGGTTTAGCGGTTGAATTCCAAGCACTTAACTGCTGAAACTTAAACTTTTGCTCCCCTTCCAACGTCAACCAAGGCTTTCTTTGCTTGACTTTCAAACGGAAGCCGACGATTCAAGATCAACTTGTAGGGCGGCATGGTACCACCGGTGTCCTTCAACATCCAACTTGTTCCCCATGGGAACTGGTGGCGTTCAGCCTATTTGCTCTTCTCTCATTCATCTCCTACGCAGAATGTACATAGGGGATCATTCCCTTGGAACCAATGTTTCTCTTTGCGGGAAAGGATGCTGAAACTGGGACAGCCTCCTTACAGCACAGCACCTCCTTCCCCCTCAAAGTACTGCACAGAGTTCTCCGCTTCTCCTGGCCTCATAGTGTGTGATACCGCTTTGTAGGACCGCAACACAGAAGCCTGGACTTAATCCCATCAATCACCTTGGGCTTCAGGCCGGTTTGGGGTTGTCAAAAAATGGAACCCTGAGCAGTTCTCGATTTAGCATGAGCTATAGCGACAACGACGGGTCACTCCGCCATCGGCTTGACCTCATGTGGGCCCAAGGCCGTCAGCCCTGCCGTTAGCTCGCCCCCAGACCCCCAGGCGGCCGCGGCTGCAGTGAGGGCCTGGGTACTGGGCATTGTGCAGCGCTTACTGCCCAGCAGTTCGGGCACTTACGCTACAGACCTCGGACCGCAGGACGTTCACTTTCCAGTTGCATGGAACCCACCGGAAGCTCCCCTTTAGAAGGAGCTTTGTTTTGTGGCCAACTAACATGGGATCCATGATGTTGATTCTAGCTCATGTCAAGTTCAGAAATCCCGCAATTGGCAACGGTTCAGGCCAATGCTGGCTTTCTTTTTAGACTCAGCATCATCAACCAAAAGGCAGTTTTGGCTGTTTCTGGCTTTGGTACACCCAAGTGGGAAAGGGTTCAGATCGCTACCTTGGCTTCGGTCACACGGCCGGACACGGGGGCTGTTGTTTGAGGTGGGACAGAGAGTTACATTGTCTTCTGGACACGACAGCAACACTTTTTGGTATATAGGCCAGCCCATGCCTACCCATTGTTTCGCGATACCAAGACGCTAGAGGTGTTACAGTCAAAACCCGGGTAGATGAAGGTTAGTAAGGAGCAGTCCCACACGAAAAATAGTTGCTGCCGCCTTCTTAATTCTTTACGTAGTTCTGGGTCAACCATTTTTCTACCGGGTTGTGATTGTGACTCAAATGTGCCCTCTGCCATTTGGTGTTTGGGGACTCGACGGAGCGAGATGGGCCAAGTCATCGGCGAGGATGTGGCGCTGGCGAAGCACAGCTTCGAGCCACAGCGCCTGGAGCGCTTGCTGGACCTTAAGAGGAAGTGGGATCCGGAGAACATGTTCAGGCCAGTGTTACAAGACTGACGATTGGTTGGCCCTATTTTTTTTCTGGGGCGGAGTGTCAAATGCTGAGACTTGAGTTTTGCTTGTTATATTTTGTTGCTTGGGTCACAGGTGACTTGGGGTCACTGGTAACGCAAGACGCTCCCTTGGGAGGCCCACAAGCACCCCACCTGACTCTCAAAGTACTGTACCACTGTGGCCCAAAGTCTCGAGGAGTGCTTGTTCTCGTGGAGGTCTCTTGAACGCAGAAAATTCCATTGCAGCATGTCAACTGTACCTCAGACTGAGCAGACTCCGATCAACTGCAAAGATACATTGTTGTTCGACTTCATATTATGAACAAACGGCAGATATGTCAAAACCGAGCTTCAAATGGACAATTTCTGGACAAATGATCTGTGTGGATTAAATTTTGGCAAAGGCTCGAGACGCACCAGGCTTTGCTCCGTGCCGAAATGTGTTCAATTTCGTACGGTAAATCCACTATTGGGTTTGTTTTGAACGGTATCTCTTCCAGAAACAGGAGTGTTTCCATTTGTCTATACTCCATGTTCCTTTGGTATTTTTTGGTGATAGTTGAAACCCTTTTAGAAAGAACCAGCATATTTATTATTGTCCTTGTCCTCGACGCAAATTTTAGACGCGGAGCTTGGTTGGGTGAGCTGGCTTGGAGTAACCGCCACCACCACCACCACCACCAACAACAACAACAACAGCAACAACAACAACAACAACAACAACAACGACAACCACAACAACAACAACAACAACAACAACAACAACAACAACAACAACAACAACAACAACAACAACAACAACAACAGCAGCAGCAGCAGCAGCAGCAGCAGCAGCAGCAGCAGCAGCAGCAGCAGCAGCAGCAGCAGCAGCAGCAGCAAAACAACAAGTCACAAACACACGCACACAAAAAAGCGCCACCAACAAACACATGGTTATATACCGAAATCAACACATCAAGAAAGGACAACACACAAGACATAAGCAAATAAACACCATCACGCAAAGAAAATAATATATGAACGACATGCCAAGCCCTACAAGAGCGCACAAGCATCATACACACAGGCAACGCCCGTGTCAAATGGGTATGGCTCTCAGGCTTTTTGCGTACGACATCGTACACATACTTGAAGCATATGCAAACACGCGTATACACGTATGCATTGATGTATGTGCGTGTGTGCACGTGTTTTCTGTAGCATTAACGTACATTGATACACAGATACACATGAGTAAAGCTTTATGAGCTCAAATAGGTCGTGCTTTGTTCCAGGCATGAACAACTGGGATGTCTTGAAACGGCTCATTGCTGTTGGGAATGGTGCAGCCCTGGCTCAGGCATGGCTTTCCTTTGGCGCAGCTTGGAGAAGACTGACCTTCTCGGTGATCGCCCGGTGACGTCCCATTCGCCAAGCGCGTCCCGGGCTCGCTTGGCGAGCGACCCTGAACCTTCCAGCACGTGCTCGGAACTGGCCCGCGGCGAATCGGCGTGACGAGGAAGGGAGCCGCTCTTGCGGTTCTTGACAGAGGCGAAAAAGCAAGTGGAGCCTTTGGATCGGCTGGGGAGTGGCTGAAAGATAGGAACCAGCAGAGCCTCCAGCGCCTCAACCAAATTACGGCAAGTTCGCATGGGCTGTGTATTTGTTTGCACGATGCAAACAACAACCAGGCGTCTTCACCCGGACTGCCATTGGAGTTGCGCATGTTTGCAAGGTCATGCTGGCAGTGTTTGCCGCGCACCTCTAGCTCCGGAAAGGTCCTCGTGCTCTCCCAGAGCTTTTCAGGGATCATAAGTGAGCTTTCATCCTTGGGCGCAAAACAGCCCATTGTTGATGTTCCCTACGGGTAACCCCAAAAAGGGTGAGTGTATGTGTTCAACTGTCTGGATCCCTGCTTACCCGCCAGCCGAGCTCTTTTCTTAGCAGGGCATATCCTTGAATGAATGAACAATAAGGTCTGTTCTACCAAAGGACACTTGAAACCTACGGCACTTATGGTGCCCACCATTTTATTTGAACGAAACTCTTGACCATGCAAGACGAGTCTGCTTGAGAAACTGCTGAATTCGCAATCTTCTCCGAAGTTAGTCAAAGATCGCCTCAATTGAATCTAGTCCAAGCTTCTCGAGTTGACTCTTCCGCAACCTCTGCTCGGGCTCCATCCAACAGGCGTTAGGTGCATTCTGGCGTCTGTCTGTGTGGTCCCGAGGTGTTCCCAAAGTGCGAACCAAAGTCTCAGCCCTTTGCAGAGCTGAGACATTGACGTGCCATGGCCGCCGCTTTGAAGGACGTGCCGTTGCACCGGCCGGGCATCCCGCCAAAATGAAAGTTGGGTGTTGGATGGATCAAGAGACTCTTAACGGCTAGCGCAAGTGTCTTCAAGCAATTTCTCACGACAACGTCTTGATTGAGCTTTGGAGTGTATGTACTAGTTCGAACTGCCACTTCCACCTGCTGGAAATCACCACTTCTCGTTGCTTGCGGCCTACACGAATCCAAGTCAACACCCGTACGTTGGTGCTGCAAGCAAATTGCGTTAATGGAAGACTACTTGGCAGGTTTCAGTCGGACCCACACGCCCCTTGGTTCTCATCAAAATGTTTGAACTTCTAGCCTTTTCGCTTTTATCGCCTTTTAGTTTGCCTAGCCTTTGCCAATGCAGGAAAACGTGGAGGGGATTGGACAAGCTTGGAAAGATGAAGAATCTCGGAATGAAGTGAACCGGCTTGAAAAGGTGTAGACAAGGACTAGGGAGAGCAGTGTCAAAGCCAAGAATGCAAAAGGCGATGAAGAGGGAATAGCCTAGCAAAGTTTCAGACAAGTCTAGGTCATGTGGCTCACAGTTGCAGGAAAAAGCGTGGAGTGCTAGTTTGATCCAGCAAAAACGGAGAAAACAAGCAATGCTTTGCTCAAGCCTAAAATATGGTCTGGCTACGGCTATGAAAAGCATTGGCAGTTGCTAAAAGCAAAGGCGATGAAGGGGGAATGCTGCAAAAGGCCAGTCACAGGGTGGGCAAGCCTTGGAAAAAGGGAAGGGGCACATGGGGCGCCTGCAGACTGCAGGCCCTAAGGCATGTGGCCCCCGGTTTTTGGATTGTCGCACAAGCGGTGGAAGTGCTAGTAGAAAGCTAGTTTGATTTTGCAAATCAAAACTGCTCTGAGCTGGCTAAATAGGGCAGGAGGACAAGGGGGAACCAAAGGAGATGAGCCGCCAAACTTAAAATGTGGTGTGCAAAGGGCGAGCAGAACACTTGAAGCAGCTACCAGAAGAAGTCAAGGGAACAGGGTACATTCACATGTTGACAGGGTATTGAAAAGTCAAGGACAAGGATGACAGACGAAGCTGCAGATTCCACCACCCAAGCAAGGTTGCAGCATACTTGAAAACAAAATCAGTGCTTGCCGCCATCAAAGGGCTACAAAACGCGCAGGTCAGGTTTTCTTATTTGCAAGTAGAGCAGCATCAGTGCTAGGGTCAGACTTACAAAAGTACCTTGATGAAGACAATGGCCGGCTGCTTCTCGTCACGCTTGGCGTGCTGGAAGCTTCACTACATGCCACGCATCTGTCAAGCTACCGGGACTGTAAGACTGGTGCTTGAGGAGCTTGGCTCCGGTTGACAACAAGGATCACGAGCTGATTCTAAGGGTACCTTCCACATTCTTTCCAGGGATCCTTCATTCTAGAAGACCTCCACAAACCCAGGGAAATATCTGGTTTTTGAAAGAACGATGGTTGAAAAGAATGGGGAATCAGCCCCTAGACTGATGGTAGCTGTACGGCTTTGCGCCGCCCGCTTGCCTATCAATTGCTGCATGAACATGCATGGACGTGCATGATTGTTTGGTGCTTTGTAGGGTCTCTGTGATGGAGGGGGGCCATCAAATTCAGATAGCCCAAGAGAGGCCCCGTGGAAAAGCAAGTCGTTGTAAACTGGATCTGCCAGGTTCTTCCCACGGGGAGGGCACGCTTGGCAGACAGCCTTGCTCAGTGCCGGCACAGAGAAAAGCATTCAGGAGCTTGGGGGGTAGCTTGCCGCCGGACAGCCAGCTATGCGGTGCTTCGGTGGTTCTTGCTCCTCAAGATATTTTAGGGGAAAGCTGTCAGTTTGGCAACGCCCCAGCTGTTTGAGGCAGTCGGCTGGATGTCCAGTGTGTTCCAGGAGCGAAGCGAAGACTAAGCCGGGCACCAACAAGTCAGAGAAAGAAGCGGCAGGCAGGAGAACCATCAGGGCTTCAAAAACAGACAGACGCGCAGCCCACGACGCTCATGGTGTTGAAAGCATGGACATTCCGTCAACGCCGGGTGAACACCAGCATCATCGCCACCAGCATCATCGCCACCACCACCATCATCATCATCATCAGCAGCATCATCATCAACATCATCATCATCATCATCATTATTATGATCATCATCATCATCATCATCATCATCATCATCATCATCATCATGACCACATCATCCATTTAGAGTGTGATGTGGGCATGTGCTTGTCAGCGTGGGTTCATGTTGAAGGTAACACAATTCGTGTCGGCTAGTGCGGCTAGTTCGGCTCAAGCATTTGAACCGAATCCTTACCAATGGCCTTGGCTCAGCCAAGTTGGTTGCCCTCATGCTTTTCGGGGCCCTGCATGTGGGTAGTGAGCGTGGCCGACTTTCTCAACATGAGATTGGAAAAAACTCCTTGCCATGAGGAACTGCTCTCGAAAGGGCTTCTGGTACGCTGGCAGGCAGGTTTCTTTTGTATTTTCGTGTCGCACCAATGGCTGGGCATCAAGCATCCCGATCCGAACTTTGAACAACTGCCTATGCTTCAGCAAGCCTTGCGGCATCTTCTAGCAGGCAGTGACCTCGGGGTTGACCCTTCAGCAGAGTTCTTCGGTAAGCGTGCGCGCTTGAGCGACAAACATCGGGCGAGCATCAAGGATGGCTACATTTGGATGGACTGGTTCAGCATCCCGCAGCACATTCCAGAGGCACAACATCCTCAAGGAACCGCTACTTTTGAAGACCTGCAGGCTGAGTATATTCGTTTGATTCCAAAGTTTGTGGAGGTGTCCGACCTGTTTGTGGTGCTTGCACCACCCTGCCGACACGATGATGGAACACTCTGCGGCTTCCGGAGCTGGTCCGAAAGAGGTTGGTGTCGATTGGAGCTTTGGTGCCAGATGATGTCCGAAAATGTGAAGTTGCCGCCAGTACTAGTATCCGGCTCTGACCAGATAAACTTTGCTATGCAAATCCACTGGCTTGATCATCCACCGCATGAGGGGCAATTTACGATTGAGGCAGATCGCCATTCGGTGAACAAAGTGACTCGGGGAGCTCTGGTTCGAAAAATGGTATCCTTGAAAGCATCCAAGAAGTGGGCTGCCTACCGCTACTTTGTTGCCAGGTACGAGACACTTCTTGGCCTCGAGCTTCGACAACGCACCCGGGAAGAGTTTACGGCTGACTTCAACGTTAGCTCGCTGCATTCCAAATGTCGCTGCATGTCTCCAATAGTTTGCGCGGTGCTATCTGGAGATGCCGAGATGATTCGAGTGCTTTGCAGTGAGGGGCTGGATGTGAATAGGTTTGATAGCTCCATCCCGGAAGTGAATATTTTTCAACCTATGTCGCCCGTGATGTTTGCTGCGATGCTTGCCTGGCGCAATGAAGAGACTATTGTTGCACTCTTGCAGCAGAAAGCAGACATCAGGGCCACCACCTTTTTTGGTACTCCCATGCTGGGATATTGCAAGACGGCACGAACTGTCGAGCTGTTGATCCAATACCGGGCAGATGTGAATCAGCAGGAGAGGTTGGCCTGCATTCCGCCTCTCTCTGCGGCTTGTGAAAATGCCGCGCCTAGATCTGTCCTGCTTAGCCTTCTGAAGCACAGGGCCTGCATGAATCCGATCAAGAGCGGGGTGGCCAGCGTGCACCCATTGGCATGTCTGGCCATGCGCCCGGCCAACTCCAATAACTTGGAGCTGGCCAAGCTGCTACTGGACGCCAGAGCGGATGCGAACATGCAGTACCGCACCTCTGGCATTTGGCGTGCCGCAGAATTGCTGTCCCTTGCTCGGGTGAAGATATTCGGGCCCATGACTCCGAGGATCACCAACTTCATCCTTGAGTGGTCCACCACCCCTTTGGGCGTTGCTTGCTTTTTTGGGTTCGATGAGATGGTGAAATTGCTTCTGGATGCAGAAGCGGACCCTGAGATACCCAATGACCGCGGACATACCCCGCTTCAGCTTGCTGAGTCGACATCGGTCCTGAACATCATTCGACACCACCAGACCACGTTTGCAGTTTGAAAACTTTTCAGTGTCACGCAAATGCTAAGCATTTGATTGATGGTGCTTGATTTTTTGACCTCGGGCGAAGCGCGCCAAAGGTGTCGCTTGCATTAGTTCTCTCAGCATCTCGATCCATTTTGCTTTCAATTCACAATTTCAGGGCGTGTGTAGTCATGCCGGAAATCATTCCCTGCTCGATTTCGGTTGCAAAGCAACATATCCGACGAGCAGATGAGGTTGCACTGGATGTTTGATTTGCCTCGAACTCTCATCATGGGGTTGTTTCCTGCTGAACCTTGTTTTCATGTGTGACATGTCGGGAACCATGGCGACCACGGAGATCAAATCTATCATTTTGGCGAAAAGCGCGCGTTGCGTTGAGTGTTGGCAGTGACGGGTTGAGCAGAGTGACGTACGCATGTCCTATTGAGGATTGCTGGGGGACGAGGGCACAAATTGAACGGCGTGCTTCTGCTTTGTGTTGTCTGGGCCCATCGACGTATTGGGGCCCGCTCCAACCTAGCGAGAGTCCACAAATACGACCGTTGTGAAGTGATACAGAAATGCTGTTTGCGGTGTTTCAACCAATGCCATACTTGTTTACATCGTTTGGGGTCAACAAAGTCGGCTCTCTACATCTCGTTATTTTTCTTAGCTGTTTTGGCTGCTTCAGAGACGTCACAACCCTTGCGATACGTTGGCAACCCCCGAGAGTGCAAATGAACCAATCCGACGCGCTTGGAAGAAGTCTTGCCAGGCTGCTCCAAAGTGCAGCCAGTTGCTCTCTGGGGGAGCGCCCTGAAGCCGGGTGGACCCCAGCTCTGCAAGCATCGCTTTTCGAGTGCTTGAAAGTAAATGCTCTGAGTTTACAAGGGTTGCCAGTTTCTGCAACCTATTGAATGTCCAAGGCACGAGTCCAAGGGGCAAGGAGGGGGGGGGGTCGGTTTCGAGTGGAGCGTGGGTCAATATATTTGCTGTACAAGGGTACAAGCAGCTCGGGCTGTTCTTTATTTCCTTCTTTCTGTCTGTCTGTCTGTCTGTCCGTCCGTCCGTCCGTCGTTTCTTTCGTTCTTTCTTTCTTTCATTCTTTGTCCCCCAACAGCGGAAAAGCTTTGGGGTCTCAGCCCAGATAGGCTCTGGGGTGGTCTGGGCGGCTCTGAGGTAAGGTTCTGCTTGGGTTCCTGGGATGCGCGGGGTGGCTCTCAGCAGGGCTCCTGAAGGGTTCCGCGAGGGTTCGGCGGAGCGGCGCTCCTATTTGGGAAAATCGCTGTCCTTTTTGTTCGCGAGCCGTAAATGAGGCCAGAGCTTTCCGTTCACCTGCCTAAAGCTTCCAGCCTCGTGAGTTCCTCAAGCAAAATTCTTCAAGACGGTTGTGGAGTGGGGTGCCAAAAGACTGGCTGGCTTTCCTTTGGCTTTCAGGGACGCCCAGCTTTGCGTTATAGTCAAGGCGGCATCCTAAGCAAAACCGGCTCTGGACGCCGCCTTAACCGTGAAGCTGGGCCACGCTGGTGCCCTGGGTGCCAACGGTGCACGGTCAGGCCCGGCGGAGCAACTGGGCCCCGACCCGCTTTCATCGCGGGCCTAAAAAAGAGCGCCGCATGGTGATCTGTCGGGGATTTCTTTCTGTCTTTCTTTCTGTCTGTCTGTCTGTCTGTCTGTCTGTCTGTCTGGCTGGCTGGCTGGCTGGCTGGCTGGCTGGCTGGCTGGCTGGCTGGCTGTCTGTCTGTCTGTCTGTCTGTCTGTCTGTGTGTGTCTGTCTGTCTGTCTGTCTTCTTTGTCCCCAACAGCTGAAAAGCTTTGGGGTCTCTGCTCAGATAGGCTCCGGGGTGGCCTGGAGCGGCTCGGAGGCAAGCTTCCGCAGGTCCGCGAGGGTTCCGTGAGGGCTCCGCAGTGTGGGGTTCGGCTTGGCGGGATCTATCAGGCTAATTTCATTTCTAGCTTTGTTATGTCTTTCTTTCTTGCTTGCTTTCTTCCTTCCGTTGTTCTTTACCTTCCCTTCCCTTCCCTTCCTTCCCTTCCTTCCCTTCCTTCCCTTCCTTCCCTTCCCTTCCCTTCCCTTCCCTTCCCTTCCCTTCCCTTCCCTTCCCTTCCCTTCCCTTCCCTTCCCTTCCCTTCCCTTCCCTTCCCTTCCCTTCCCTTCCCTTCCCTTCCCTTCCCTCCTTCCTTCCTCCATTTTTCTTTGTGTTTTTGTGTTTTTCACTAGTTATTTCAGCGTTTGCTTGGGAGGGACGGAGGGAAGGAGAAAAGGAAGGAAGGCAGGAAGGAAAGAAGGAAGGGCGGGAGGGAGGGAGGGAGGAAGGAGTGAGGCAGGCAGCAGACAGGCAAACAGCAGACAGCAGGCAGGCAGGCAGACATCGATCGCAGCTGTGATCTCTTTCCAGAAGCCAATTGGGACGTAATTAAGCGGATACGCGACAGCAGCGTGCAACTCAGCCCAGGCAAAATCACGGCTCTAACGGCAAGTGGCCTTGTCTGGATCGGGATATGCTCGCGGTGCGGACTCTTCTGAAAAATTGGAGTAGTAGTAGTAGTAGTAGTAGTAGTAGTAGTAGTAGTAGAAGAAGTAGTAGTAGCAGTAGCAGTAGCAGTAGCAGTAGCAGTAGCAGCAGTAGCAGCAGTAGCAGCAGTAGCAGCAGTAGTCGTAATAACAATACCAATGAAGTCCGGCAGTTCCCGTCCTGTCTTCCGGTCTTTCTCTCCCTCCTCTCCCTCCCTCCCCTCCCTCCGCGACTTTGTAGCTGGATCTAGCTGGAGCTACGGAAGCAGCTTTGCGCGCCAGCTTGGTACGCGGCCACATCAACCGCGCTGGCGAGCAACTGCGTTTCCAAAGGTAGGCTCACAGGCGTCGCGAAACACTTTTCATCCATACCTTTGGACCGCGGAACGATCCATACACATGAAGACTTGCGAAGTCGCAACTACGCAGTCATCCTTTTGTTCCAAGCATGCGCAATACATGTGCAGAATTACTTGTGATTGTTGGAACGGACGCATTGGCGTTGGTAATGGCCCGGCCTTGGATCAGGAGAGGTTTCCTCTCGGGCAGCTTGGAGAAGACTATTCTCACCGAGCTCTCGTGACATGCATCGCTCGAGCGACCTTGGCCGTTCCAGCGCTTTGGAACCGGCTCTCGGCGGAACAGCATGGTTTAAGCGGATGGGCACATGATGAATCCCAGAATGCCCCGGAGTGACGAGGAACGGAGCCGCTCTTGCACGTGTCGATTCGCGGGTGGCGGAATAAAACAAGCAGAGCCTGTGGATGGGTTGGGGGAGATTTGCTGCATGATAGAAACAAGAGCCGCAAATAGATCCCAGGTTGTAAACACATGGCAAACGTTCCGGTTTTTTCCAATCACGCATCGGAGAATGTTTGCAATGTCGTGCACCTGGCCAGGAAGTGTTTTTGCGTTTGCCTCGCGCCGCAGCCAAAGTTCTGGCTCCGGAATGCCTCGGGTTCTTCCTGAGTTTTGCAGGGGTCCCTTCATTTCCTGTTGCAGTGATCTCATCAGCTTTTTGGCTGACAGGCAGTGACTCTCCTGCTATGCTGTTCCCTAGGAGCAACCTCGGAAGGATGTGTATATTTGTTGGCCCACTGGATCCAGTTTACCCTCCAGGTGACGTTCAAGGGAGAACCAAAAGAGTTCTGCTCCACAAAAGTGTGGACACTTGAAACTGACGCCACTTGCTGTGACTGCCAGGCCTCTGCTGTTACCCAACGCCACAGACAGACCTTTGCTACGAGCCTTTCAATGAAGGAAACTCTGTACCATGCAAGGCGTGTCTGCTTTAATACTTTTTGCCAGCAATCCGTGCTCTTCTCCATAGTTAGTCATCTAAGATCGCCTCAGTAGAATGTGATCCAGACTCCTTGTGTTGGCACCTTCACAACCATCACTCCTCGGGAGGCTCTGTCCAAGGCGTTCCCATAAAGATGCATCTCTGTCATGACTGGGTTTCAATAGCAGCTTGGGTATTGAATCAGTTTCAGGGTTTTGCCATGTCCCCGAGGTGTTTTAAAGCTTCGAACAAAAGTCTCAGCCAAAGTGAGAGCTGAGACATTGCCGTGCCATGGCTGCCGATTTGAAGGACGTGCCGTTGCACCAGCCGGGCATCCCAAGGGATGCGACTCACGAGCACCAGCGGAAAGAATGGAAGCTTCCCTTAAAATTCAAATCTTTTGTTTTGGCCCCTTGCCCAAACACAGGGCCAAAAATTTCCAGGTTTGCCCAGGGGTCTTCTTGGTTAGCTCAACAAGCCCCAGTAGATCGCACGGCGGCCCGTTTGGGGACACCCCCGTCGCTTTGGTACAGGACCTAGGGCCTTTGGCCTCTTGTTGATCTGACCCCTCCAGCGGAAATGGGTTGGATCTTGGCATAGCCAGTACTTGTCAGATGATAAGCCGAAGGCAGTTGAGGCAGTCCCCATTTGTCTTAGGGCTTAGGGATCAGCGCAGGATCCTTATCCCCAGTGCTGGGGCCACAGACCGGTTCAAAAGGGATCCGAACCCCTTTTAAAGGAGGCACCCCGAAACCAACGGGCGGTTGCTTTGCTGCCCCCAGCCTTGTGCCTTACCTCGGAAAGTTTCAGGCACCCCCTTCCCCCCCTGGCCCGTGAGTTCGAAATGGTCTCCCGTTTCGCAAGGCTTCCTGTGTGCCCCAAGGGGAACGGCGGGCCAACCCTGAGCTGAGTTGGAGATGAGCCTCGGACGGCACGGGCCCGAGGTTGGTGGAGCCCTTTGATACGCGGCAGCAGCTCTGCGGGGGTCAACTGCTGCTCCGCATCCGCTTGGCCTCGGATGAGGCCAAACCCAGTCTGACAGTCCAAAACGATTCGAGACGTGGGCTTCAAATCATTGGCCACTGTGGATGGACGAAATCCTGCACCACTTTGAAACTACGGGAAACCATTGTTTGTTGGTATTGACAGGGGAATCATCATTCCATGGCTTCTTAGGTGGTGCAGGATTTCGCCCATCCACAGTATGCACAGTATGTCATGCGAATATTCCGTGCATGCAGAGCGGTGATTGTATTTGTATGTTGTTGTATATGCCTGTTTGTGGGCACAGTGTCGAGGCAGGTTCGTGAGACTGGATATACTCAGTCGTCGAAAGAGGGCACAGAGGGACGTTGTGAGCGGTCCATGATCTCGGGCACGGAGGCCTCAAGATTCTCGATCCACCGGCACTCTACCCATGAAGTCATCGATCCTATGGCTGTCAAGACGGAAGCCCAAGCCACGTTTTTACAAGGAGACTGTACCCCGCATTTTTATTCAGTAGTTCATGGGGGTCCTTGACAACCAGAGGATTTAGATTTCAACCTTTTGAGTCCGGCAGGTGGCGTCTCTCACGGAGCCGGATCCCTTATTTAGCCTGGTCCCGCGGCGTATCTGCCCTTCCTCTTCCACGAGGTCTTGGAGCACTTCAAGAAGTCCATCTCCCGCATGGGCCAACCCTGTGAGCTGTGGTTCGACTACAACAACATTGCCACCTGGAGAGGGGCAGATGCGGACAGGGATGGTTCCTGTTCCAAAGGGTTTAGGCAGAAATGTGTATTGTGGTGAGTGTCTCCGTCATTGTTAAGATGCGATGAAATCAACGCTGGACACAAAGGAGATCCTTGAAGTGGTGGAAAGTTAATTCCGATGACTATATTCGCTACCGAAAGCGGGCAAGCTATTTCAGCGTGTTTGATACCCAAAACTCCCAAAAGATGGCACAATTCTCAACAGCAAAGGCGCTTAGTCAGATCCCTCCCCGAAGGAAACTCGGTGCGCGACGAACTAATTATGAGTCGTGCATCAATTAATGCTTTAAGCAGTGGATATATTGTTACTGGCCCCCAGTGTCGGCATTGGCATAGGATCATTTACAGATTCTCCAGAGGACTCAAATATCTTTAGCCTTAAACATTAATCAGGCAACCCCATAGGGCTCAACCCGAATGAAAAGACCTACTTGGATGACGATTAATTCTTAGGTAAATGTTTTTGGTTCAATATGAGCCCCGTTGTTTTACTGTAGTGGTTTAATATGAACCTCATGGCTCATATCCTATGCCTCCATTTTGGGGCGGATGAACACCCATGTACCACCTATTTTCATGTTCACCAGTCAAGGGTTTTGACCCACAGCCATATGAACCTTATGGAATTCATTGTGGCAACCATAGGTGTCCTTTTTGGTTGATTTGCTGGTTTACCTGGTGGTTCAATCAATTACCGGGGCCATCTATTTTCCCAAAACGGACACCTATGGTGGCAACTGACCCCCAGACACCTGTCGTCTCACTCGTGAGTCACAGCCAAGGCCCTGAAGTGGCACTTCCCGGTGGGGGTGCTGTGCGACTCGCTGGTGGGCCTGGAGGCGGGCGGATGGGAAAAACTGGTTGGAGGCCATCATCGTTTTGAGGAAGAAAACGAAAGAAAGAAAACACAGGTCCCCCAGCTAGGTGCCAACTTCTACCGTTTCTTTTTTGGTTGGGAGGGTTTTCCCCTACTAAAATAGACTACGGAGAAAAGTTGGTACCCTTATTCTAACCTCTCTACTGGAGGACCTAGAAAAACACCCGTCGCAAGAGGTCCCACGTGCCCTAAGGCAATCCTTGCAGGCTACATGGATGTAGAAGCGAAGTTGGCCATTGTCACTTTGAGGAAACCAAAGGGAACACCACCGATGCTAGAGGATTTGTGTTTATGTGCCCTGAGACAAACCTTGCAAGAGGTTGCATGGATGTAGAAGGGGGTGGATTGGATCAAAGTTGGCTGCTTTGTTTGGTTTGGACTTGGGAAGCGCTTTCTTCACTGGCAACCAACCTACAACATAGGATCCATTTAAGTGCAAGATAGTGCAAGATAGCCACAACTGGTTTGTTCATGTAAATGATGTCTGCAATGTCAGCAACGCCAGCCAGCTTGAAGCAAGCCCGGGATCACCTTTCTTGGGATCTATCTGCATCCCTTTGACAAGGGAAAACTGGGCCGCGTGTACACACGTCCTGTTCCCTGTGCACAAGCAAATTTTATTGGAGCCTGATCACACACTTGTGTTTCGCAGGTGCCCTTTTAGTTTGGACAATAGCCGATGCAATCGAAGGTCAGGGGGGAAAAGGGTTCCCAGTTTTTCCTTGCTTGCTTTTCAAGACAAAGGGGATCCCCTAACACTGGGTCAAATCAGTTTGAGTGTTTCTGGGGGTTATCAAAGTCAGAGAAAAAACGGGTTTGTGGCCCTTAAACCGACAACTTAGAGGGTGCTTTGATCATTGTAAACGCATGAGGCCAGTATGGGAAAAGGAGAGATTGGCCGTACTTGGCAAATGCAAGGAAGAAATACTAGTTGCGATGGTAAAGAAAAAACCAGACATCGCAGCACCTAAGAAACCACGGTTGAAACCACGGTTGTAACATTCGAAAGCATATGGCTGTGGGTGAAAACCAATGGGATCCCATTTTAGATGAATTCACCACCCATTTTAGTACCTATTTAGTGGTTGGATTGAATCGGATGTTCACTGGGGGTACGATTTGGCTTTTGACCCATGGCCATATGGGTATGGGTCAAAATTAAGCCACCAGGGGACCGCAGGTTTTGGTCCATGTTTCCATTTACCTGGGTTCCATTTTGGGTACCTCTTCTTGACCCACACCCATACGGAAAATGTTTTGAGTCGCCGAGTAGGTGCCGGTGCCCTGGGATCTCACGGTGCACTTCTGCGGCAACTCCTCCATGAAGGACTTGCTGCCATTTAGCGACTCGAAAAAAGACACCGGAACGGGTGCGGAGAGGCCATTTGGATGTTGGGTGTTCATCTTGGTGTTTTGTTTTTGGTTTCCGATGAGTTGATGGAGGCTTTCCGTTGGTCTTCCTTTTGACATGCTCCAACTCCCCATGCTGTACAAGTTTGTCGCATGCCTTTTGGTAACACCTGACCCTGCCTCGAGCCGGGATCCCTTTCTTGGTTCCCGGCTTTTCTATTTATTTTGTTTTGGGGGGGTGTCCCTTGTTTTCTGAGAACTTGAGATATGTTCCGCTCTTAATGCAGCTAACTAGCACTTGGGATGTTGAAAGGGAGGTACTTTTTTGGTCGGGACATGTCTACAGAGGATCTGGCAGATGTTGATACCACCTGCTTGACCCAAGAATGTGATTTACTGTCAAGACCAGGCATCCCTTCAAGTGGTGGTTTTTCTGTAACTTCTCATAACGCTCTCTTACAAATCGAGGAAGGGGGGTGTTCGCTCTGACACCGGTTCTTTGAGCTACCAGTGGACAGGGTATATAAGTACGGGAGCCGTAATTTCATGATATCCGCTATGGTTGAAAGCGGAATCAGCACGGGCAAGTTCTAGACAGGGGCTTGTGACCTCGCCCATGAAGATTTCTCTCATATATGTTTCCTTTGACAGCCCTTTTTTCCTTTTTTGGGGAAGGGTTCCCCTTTAAACTCGACCAACCAAAAAAGGATGTCCTTTTTTTACCATGGCCACTGGGCATCTGAGTTTTGGGTCGCCTGTTTATAGTCACCCAGATCACTGAACTGATTGGATTCTGGCCTGCTTAGGTGGCATGGCCGACCTGCAGCGCGCGGTCATGAACGCCTTCAAGCAGGCCGCTGGGATTTGTTCGTCGTCTTTGTCGATTCGGGCCTTAGGCCAAAGGGGAATGTTTAGGGCTCCCAATCAGATGAACTCCAAATATTGGCTCGGTTCTGCCTAGACATCAGGTGGGTATGGGTCAAAATTAAACCACCAGGATAACCGCAGGTTGCAGTCCATATTTCCATTTGCCAGGGCAAGCCATTTTGGGGTTACACTATTTTTGACCCACGCCCAGGTGACATCCGTTTCAAAAAGAGCCCGGCTTTTCTGTGCCAAAGCATCGGGACGGCACGGAGCTGCAGCCCGGAAGCCGGTTCGGTGTGCGAATGGCAGGGGTCCTTAGGTTGGTTAGAAATAGATAGGTTCCACTGGCTTTGGGTTACACTTCCATTTGCCAGGGCCATCTATTTTTCCAAACGGACACCCAGGGCCATAATCTCGAGAATCAACAATTAACAATTGATTGGATTCCTTGGTACCTGACAGAAGCGCTATCAAATTCTGATGTTTCACCCTTTAAAGAAAATGGAGGCCTTGATCCTGAGGGGAAGTAATTAGCCACGAGGCACTCTTCCTGGAGGTGGGCTCCACCAGTCGCTTCATGCGCTTGGAGAAGAAGGACCTCCGGTTGGCCCCCCCCCCCCCCCTTGACCTACCTTTTCCCATCTGCAAATCCAAAGCAAAGGTTTCTTGAAAGGTGTCCCACCTGCAGGTCATTGGTAATATCAATCCTGCCTGTTTTGTGTCTCAGCTAGTTTAGTCAACTCCAGCCTATATTTGAAATGCAATGGAATTCGAATTGAAATTGAACTTATGGAGACGTCCATCCTGCAGGTCACTGCACTCACTCCATTTTGCGTTCACCATAGAACTTCTAACAAGATTGCATTGTCAATAAATTCTACTCAATGTCTAACATTGTTTGTTATCAACATCCTTTTTGGAGCCACAATTTATATTCAACTTCTGAATGAACATTGACATTGTGATCAGTTTGTTTTATTAAATTGTATAAGAGGCCTTGTAAGGAACTGTATTTGCAGCTTTAGAAGGATGTGCACAAGAACAAGGATACTTTTAAGGAGCTTAAACAGAATGTGTTCTAACTATGCCTACGAAGAGCGTTGTACGGTGCCTTACAAGGAGCTTTAAAGGGAGCCGTGAAAGGAGCTTCACAATGAGCCTTGTAAGGAGCCTTGTGAGGAGCCGTATGAGGCTTGAGTCAGCAATTTTAAACCCAGCTGTTGAATTCTGACTCAAAATCAAAATTGTGATTCAACTCTGTTTGTATTGAAGTCTATTTGAATTCTAATATTGTTTCAATCAAAGTCCAATTTGATTAGACATTCCTCTTTTCAGTCCAATCGAGGTCGCTGACTGCACTTGTAAAAGTGTTTAGCAAAGATGTCAATGCATATCGAAGCAACGTGTGCATATATCGTCACACCTTCAGCAAGAACATACGGGTCCAAGTCTCAACAACAACGACAACGACCACGACCACGACAACAGCAACAGCAACAACAACGACGACGACGACGACGACCACAACAACAACAACAACAACAACAACAACAACAACAACAACAACAACAACAACAACAACAACAACAACCTCAACAACAACAACAACAACAACAACAACAACAACAACAACAACGCCAACGCCAACGCCAACGCCAACGCCAACGCCAACGCCAACGCCAACGCCAACACCAACACCAGCAGCAGCAGCAGCAACAGCAACAGCAACAGCAACAGCAACAGCAACAACAGCAGCAGCAGCAACAACAACAACAAAACAGCAGCAGCAGCAACAACAACAGCAACAACGGCGGCAACGGCAGCAACGGCAACAACAGCAGCAACAACAGTAGCAACAGCAACAGCCACAGAACAAGAACAGAACTGGATGGACAATGCCCACAAGCCGCAAGAACAGTGCTTTGTTTTTGTTTTCTGTGCGTGTTATAAAGAAACATATAAAAGCCATGGCGTTTGGCGGGGGGACAATGCAAAAATCAAATGATGAAAAGCCAAAACAATCAAAATCACGAGAACACCAACAGAACACAACAATCTCTGAGGAGAATCCCCAAACCTTGCTTTTGTTTGGTTTTCTCGGGTGTTGCGTTTGTTTGTGTTGTTTTTTCTACAGCTTTCTTGTTTTAGGACCAACAATGAGTTTGTTTTGGTGCGTGGACATTTGCCTTCTAAACAACCAAAGCAAGTTTGAGTTTGTTTCATGTCCAAACAACTTGAAAAAGAAGTGTTTTTTTTATACTTTCCAACCGTAAAACACAAGACAACGCTGCGAAAAGTCTTGCATTTAGGCATTCCCAACTCAACGTCGTGGAATGACCCAGAGAGCAAAATCCGATCAGGGGCTTGGCGCACACACACAGACACACACACAAACACACACACGCTTTGATGATCTGCGTCTGGAACTCACAAATACCACGATACCATGCAGGCTGGCATTAAACATGTGTACTGACAATACTCAACTACTTGAAAGGACTTCAAAGAGCAAAAGGTAGATCATGGAGGCTGACAATATATAAATACAGGTTCAGATGTATGTATGTATGTATGTATGTATGCATGCATGCATGCATGCATGCATGTATAATATATATATGTATATACACATGTGCATATGTATGTGTACATTGACATAGAGGATATGCGTGGCTGCTGTGCACGCATTCTACCTTCAGCACTGCATGCCAGCCCGCGTTACGCGCATTCTACAGTAACTGCATGATATACCCACTTGGATGTGTTGCCTGCATTCCCTTTCCGTCCGTCGCTATCTATATATATATAGATATGGACACGTAAATAAAGTATATCCTCACCAGTGCACAATTCATTTGTCTCTGACCCACGTTTGCATTGTGCCGTCTCTTGGTCCTGACAACCATTGCTTGTCATCAAGCTGGAGTTGCCGGGAGGGTCGAGGTCCATGACAGCAGGAATGTTGTCGAAAGCACATGGCAAAATTGACACAGACCCGAGGAATCACATTGGGGGGGTGGGGATGGGACATTGTTGACTGGGGAAGAGGCGCCAGGATGTGGGTTCGTCCATGTTTGGGATCCACTTTTCAGCGCAAGGACACCATAATCATTCCCCTTCTAGACCACAGGAGCACATGACTCTCTGGGACGCCATCCTCCACAGCGACCTCAAAACCTTCATCTCGGTGGAGGAGAAGTTCCTCAGCTAAAAGTGATGACCACATGTTCAAGCAATGCGCGCGCCTTGGAAAGCCAAAGTTCATCAACCGTTTACTATTAGTGAAGGAACTACTGTTGAGAGGCGGAGTAGGGGAGCTTGGACCAATGGCAGATGTAGAGCAATATGCCGTTTGTCATGGTACTCACAATTTCGAACATGCTTGCTTTTCCTGGCTGACGTGCAATACAGGCAACTTTGCGGTGCGTTGATTGGTCAGTTATTGTCGGCTGCCAAAAGGGGTGCAGCAGAGGCACCCTAAAGTTTTGTTGGGCGTGAAGCAAGAGTGTTTTTGTCAAGTTGATGTCCCAGGATTGTTAAGGGTCAGTTCGGCCAAGGCGAGAATCCATCTTGGACCTGCGTGGGAAAGTGAGAACCAGAAGATTGAAGAACAAAGGGCGGATGACGATTTGTTTTCGGAAAAGAAGCTAGCAATGTGAAAAGAACCAACCGGACACAAACTGTATATGGGTTTGCTTGTACTTGGATGTCTCTTGCATGTGTGTGTGTGTGAGTGAAGGACTGCGACGTTGCATTCAGGAAGAAAGAGCTTGCGGGTCCGAGTCTCACTTCATTATGAGACCTCCCTTGACAAGGAAACCCGAATCTTGCATGCTTTTGCCTCACATCAGACTCTGAGAGGGCGCCTGAACAAGGAGCTTGTTTTTGAATCACAGTCTTCCATGGCGTTTGAGGTTGATGTGCAACACCTTGGCCGAGTGCAAGAGCCTGGCAGTTCGTCTACACCTTTGGCTTCCACCAGACGAGGCCGACGCTCAAAACCCGACTGCAACCGTCATTGTCATCATCTCAGCACTCTTTTCATTATTGTTCTGAGAATGCGTTTGATAGATTCTACCAAGGAGGTTCCGTCTTCCATCGCGTGGCAATCATGTGTGCCTGCGTAGCGGCCTAGGACTCATTTGATAGAACTCGCGTGGGCTTGACCAGGATTGTTTGTCAATGATGCAGGAATGGCAAGGGACAGTCAAGGCGATGCTCTTGCGCCATAGTTCAAAGCGTTTGCATGGGCTTCGTGGCCATCAGGCTTTGGCGAAATTGAGTTGAATCCAGTGTAGGTCCTAGGATCCCCCCCCACCACACCCTTTCCGGCCGACTGGGTTTCGCACGAATCTTGCCAAGAGATCCTATCAAGAGATCCTTTCAAGAGATCCTATCCAGAGATCCTGTGAAAGTCCTCCCAAACATATCTAGCGCTGGTCTGTCATAAGCATCCTTTCAAGAGCTCTTGCGCAGGACCTGGAAACACTTCCCTCCAAGCGATCTTGTAGCGACTCTCCCTACAGATCGTGAACCGAGACATTGTATGTTAATGATCTTCTCATGGATTCAGTACACAAACCATGCCAAGAGACCCTACCCAGACATCCTGCGCAAACATCCTGGCAAAGATCCTGTAGAGGTCCTCCGAGATATATTTGGGTCTTGTCCTTCGCAGAGAGAATGCTCCCAGGAGGTCTTGTGCAGTCCCTCTCAAGGATTCCGTGCAACAATCATGCCAAGACATCCTACCAAGAGATCCTCCAGAGAAAACGCCTTGCACAGAGACCCTGCAAAAAAGCAAGTGCACTAGTCAGTCTAGAGATACTCCCAAGACGTCTGGCGCAGAGCCTGCAACGATATCTTTTCAACAAATCTTGTAAAGGGTGCTCCCGACTTGTAGAGGGACTGAGGGACCCTGGCCATGGCCAGGAGATCCTTCCAAGTGATCTTACCCATACATCTCGCGCAGAGATCCTCGCAAAATCTGGCGATAGCCAAGGTCTTGCGCAGGACAGATTTCCTGCGAGAGGTCTTGTAGGGGGGAGCCCCCTACAGATCTTGAACGGAAGCTTGTAGAGGGTGTCCTACAAAGAGATCCTATGCAGAGATATTGCGCAGATCCTGCAAAGATTCTGCACAGATATTTTGTGTTGGTCCATCACAGAGGTCCGCTCAACAGATCTTGCGGAGGACCTGCCAAGGCTTCATGTCGAGACATTTTGTAGAGGACATTCTCTAAAGCTCTTGAAGAGAGAGCTTGTAGAGTCTTCTGTCGGAGATCATGCGCACAGATCTCAAGAGATCCTATCTAGAGACCCTAGCCAGAGATCCTGCTACGATCCTTCCACAGAGATCTTGTCCAGGGATTTACGGAAACATTCGTAATTAGTTTTTCTTCAGAGAAGTCTTGCGCGGAACCTCTTTCCGCAGGAGGCCTTCTATACAAGGTTCCGAAGGCTTCTGTTTGAATGTCACGTGCGAGACCTTTTGTGCGCGTCTGCTGCTGCGCCTACGTTCATGTCGCTTGCGTGGGTCATTGTAGTTGAACAAGCCCGCTTTTCAGGGGTTGTGTTCCTTTTAACTTCCTCTTCGGGTGTGGTGCATGAGAATTCTATGGCCAATACATTTGGCTCAAGGCTGAGAAAAGCTTGTTTGCACTCGCCGGCGCCATTGCTTGATTCACTTGAATCACTTGTGTTTTGGGCATTTCAACTGGTTATCAGCCGTAAGGCTCCGACTACCTGATCGCGCACCTTATCAGCAGTCACAATGGCTGAAGAGGAGAGGCCCACCCGCACCCGAGGCATCAGGTTGGGAAAAGGGCCGAGGAGGCGCCGCGAAGCCTTTGTCTCCCATAGGGTGGCGGAAGGGACTCCGAGGGAAGAAGTTCAGGTGGTCCACGCAGACGGATCAAGCAGACCGTTGGGCACAAGCTCTTCCTGGGGTGAGGCTCAAGAGGATTTTGAGGTGGTCGAGATCGAAGACGCGGAGATAGCCCGAGCCGCAGGAGGATTAGCGGATTCGGAGGAATTTGGGAAAAGGAGGTGGACTTCTTGTCTCATCATCATCAAGGCGGGGACTACCGATTTCTGACAATTCTGCAAGCTCAGCAACTCACACACAGCAGTCTTCGTCTCAATCAGCAGACCTGGCGGTTGCCTTTGCTTCCGCCTGAAGAACCTCCTCCTATAGTGCCTGAGGGTGAAGCGCCGGGAAGCAGTCAACAGAGCAGAAAGCTTTTGGAACAGGAAGCTGCAGCGAGTGAGGGCGAACCTGCGAGCTCTTCCTTCAGGGCATCTCAAATTTGGTTACAGCGCTCAAGGGATTCTCCGCCTGCCTCAGATCCGCAGTTCATTTCCGAGGTGGGAGTTTTGACCATTGCACGACCCAAGGCATCTCAGGCCATCAGCGGTCTCAGGCCACATACAACTGCGCCTACGAGGAATACTGGGCAGGCTTTAGCAGTTTCACGTTCTCCGCCAATCTCGGAGGCTGAGCGTGAACGGGCTCTGATTCAGTACTGCAGGGGTCCTGGCCCTCTTCCTCCATCTCGAGCAGCTACAATTGCAAGGGACGCGCGGGCAATTGTGTTTGTGGACTATCATCAAGTGAGCGATTGTTTCAGAGTATCAGCACGAGAATTACAATAGCCGCAGGGCTACCGGAGAATTGTTTCTTGGCCCAGCTCTCGTATATTCTAAAGGATCGCCGCACTGGTACAATTCAAGGGAACTACAATTACAGACCGGCACGCGCCGCTGCCGAACATTTGGAGCGAAGGACACCATTCAACTTCTTGATCTACACTCCGGAGAGATCTGGATCTTGCGGGAAATTGGAAGTCGCTCGTGCATTTGCTCCAAAGGCGAAACTGCTGATTCTGATAGACGACGGGTCTGAAGCCCTTCAGGAGCTCTCTGAGTTCAAGCGCGGTGCTGCAATTGGAATCAGACTGCCCAAGAAATGGCCGCCGGTTTGAAGGACGTGCCGTTGCACCTGCCGGGCATCCCAGGGATGCGACTGACAGGCACCAAAATGAAAGTTGGGTGTTGGATGGATCAAGAGACTCTTAACGGCTAGCGCAAGTGTCTTCAAGCAATTTCTCACGACAACGTCTTGATTGAGCTTTGGAGTGTATGTACTAGTTCGAACTGCCACCTCCACCTGCTGGAAATCACCACTTATCGTTGCTTGCGGCCTACACGAATCCAAGTCAACACCCGTACGTTGGTGCTGCAAGCCAATTGCATTAGTGGAAGACTACTTGGCAGGTTTCAGTCGGACCCACACGCCCCTTGGTTCTCATCAAAATGTTTGAATTTCTAGCCTTTTCTCTTTTATCGCCTTTTAGTTTGCCTAGCCTTTGCCAATGCAGGGAAACGTGGAGGGGATTGGACAAGCTTGGAAAGATGAAGAATCTCGGAATGAAGTGAACCGGCTTGAAAAGGTGTAGACAAGGACTAGGGAGAGCAGTGTCAAAGCCAAAAATGCAAAAGGCGATGAAGAGGGAATAGCCCAGCAAAGTTTCAGACAAGTCTAGGTCATGTGGCTCACAGTTGCAGGAAAAAGCGTGGAGTGCTAGTTTGATCCAGCAAAAACGGAGAAAACAAGCAATGCTTTGCTCGAGCCTAAAATGGTCTGGCTACGGCTATGAAAAGCATTGGCAGTTGCTAAAAGCAAAAGCGATGAAGGGGGAATGCTGCAAAAGGCCAGTCACAGGGTGGGCAAGCCTTGGAAAAAGGGAAGGGGCACATGGGGCGCCTGCAGACTGCAGGCCCTAAGGCATGTGGCCCCCGGTTTTTGGATTGTCGCACAAGCGGTGGAAGTGCTAGTAGAAAGCTAGTTTGATTTTGCAAATCAAAACTGCTCTGAGCTGGCTAAATAGGGCAGGAGGACAAGGGGGAACCAAAGGAGATGAGCCGCCAAACTTAAAATGTGGTGTGCAAAGGGCGAGCAGAACACTTGAAGCAGCTACCAGAAGAAGTCAAGGGAACAGGGTACATTCACATGTTGACAGGGTATTGAAAGCTCAAGGGCAAGGATGACAGACGAAGCTGCAGATTCCACCACCCAAGCAAGGTTGCAGCATACTTGAAAACAAAATCAGTGCTTGCCGCCATCAAAGGGCTACAAAACGCGCAGGTCAGGTTTTCTTATTTGCAAGTAGAGCAACATCAGTGCTAGGGTCAGACTTACAAAAGTACCTTGATGAAGACAATGGCCGGCTGCTTCTCGTCACGCTTGGCGTGCTGGAAGCTTCACTACATGCCACGCATCTGTTAAGCTACCGGGACTGTAAGATTGGTGCTTGAGGAGCTTGGCTCCGGTTGACAACAAGGATCACGAGCTGATTCTAAGGGTACCTTCCACATTCTTTCCAGGGATCCTTCATTCTAGAAAACCTCCACAAACCCAGGGGAAAATATGTTTTTTGAAAGAACCATGGTTGAAAAGAATGGGGAATCAGCCCCTAGACTGATGGTAGCTGTACGGCTTTGCGCCGCCCGCTTGCCTATCAATTGCTGCATGAACATGCATGGACGTGCATGATTGTTTGGTGCTTTGTAGGGTCTCTGTGATGGAGGGGGGGCCATCAAATTCAGATAGCCCAAGAGAGGCCCCGTGGAAAAGCAAGTCGTTGTAAACTGGATCTGCCAGGTTCTTCCCACGGGGAGGGCACGCTTGGCAGACAGCCTTGCTCAGTGCCGGCACAGAGAAAAGCATTCAGGAGCTCGGGGGGTAGCTTGCCGCCGGATAGCCAGCTATGCGGTGCTTCGGTGGTTCTTGCTCCTCAAGATATTTTAGGGGAAAGCTGTCAGTTTGGCAACGCCCCAGCTGTTTGAGGCAGTCGGCTGGATGTCCAGTGTGTTCCAGGAGCAAAGCGAAGGGAAGACTAAGCCGGGCACCAACAAGTTAGAGAAAGAAGCGGCAGGCAGGAGAACCAGCAGGGCTTCAAAAACAGACAGACGCGCAGCCCACGACACTCATGGTGGCGAAAGCATGGACATTCCGTCAACGCCGGGTGAACACCAGCATCATCGCCAGCAGCATCATCGCCACCAGCATCATCGCCACCACCACCATCATCATCATCAGCAGCATCATCATCAACATCATCATCATCATCATCATCATCATCATCAGCATCAGCATCAGCATCATCATCATCATCATCATCATCATCATCATCATCATCATCATCATCATCATCATCATCATCATCATCATCATCATCATCATCATCATCATCATCATCATCATCATCATCATATGACCACATCTTCCATTTAGAGTGTGATGTGGGCATGTGCTTGTCAGCGTGGGTTCATGTTGAAGGTAACACAATTCGTGTCGGCTAGTGCGGCTAGTTCGGCTCAAGCATTTGAACCGAATCCTTACCAATGGCCTTGGCTCAGCCAAGTTGGTTGCCCTCATGCTTTTCGGGGCCCTGCATGTGGGTAGTGAGCGTGGCCGACTTTCTCAACATGAGATTGGAAAAAACTCCTTGCCATGAGGAACTGCTCTCGAAAGGACTTCTGGTACGCTGGCAGGCAGGTTTCTTTTGTATTTTCGTGTCGCACCAATGGCTGGGCATCAAGCATCCCGATCCGAACTTTGAACAACTGCCTATGCTTCAGCAAGCCTTGCGGCATCTTCTAGCAGGCAGTGACCTCGGGGTTGACCTGACAGCAGAGTTCTTCGGCAAGCGTGCGCGCTTGAGCGACAAACACCGGGCGAGCATCAAGGATGGCTACATTTGGATGGACTGGTTCAGCATCCCGCAGCACATTCCAGAGGCACAACATCCTCAAGGAACCGCTACTTTTGAAGACCTGCCCATGTGGAAAGCCATGTCTAGTCTTGCGACGCAGGATGAGTATATTCGTTTGATTCCAAAGTATGTGGAGGTGTCCGACCTGTTTGTGGTGCTTGCACCACCCTGCCGACACGATGATGGAACACTCTGCGGCTTCCGGAGCTGGTCCGAAAGAGGTTGGTGTCGATTGGAGCTTTGGTGCCAGATGATGTCCGAAAATGTGAAGTTGCCGCCAGTACTAGTATCCGGCTCTGACCAGATAAACTTTGCTATGCAAATCCACTGGCTTGATCATCCACCGCATGAGGGGCAATTTACGATTGAGGCAGATCGCCATTCGGTGAACAAAGTGACTCGGGGAGCTCTGGTTCGAAAAATGATATCCTTGAAAGCATCCAAGAAGTGGGCTGCCTACCGCTACTTTGTTGCCAGGTACGAGACACTTCTTGGCCTCGAGCTCCGACAACGCACCCGGGAAGAGTTTATGGCTGACTTCAAGTTTAGCTCGCTGCATTCCAAATGTCGCTGCATGTCTCCAATAGTTTGCGCGGCGCTATCTGGAGATGCTGAGATGATTCGAGTGCTTTGCAGTGAGGGGCTGGATGTGAATAGGTTTGATAGCTCCATCCCGGAAGTGAATATTTTTCAACCTATGTCGCCCGTGATGTTTGCTGCGATGCTTGCCTGGCGCAATGAAGAGACTATTGTTGCACTCTTGCAGCAGAAAGCAGACATCAGGGCCACCACCTTTTTTGGTACTCCCATGCTGGGATATTGCAAGACGGCACGAACTGTCGAGCTGTTGATCCAATACCGGGCAGATGTGAATCAGCAGGAGAGGTTGGCCTGCATTCCGCCTCTCTCTGCGGCTTGTGAAAATGCCGCGCCTAGATCTGTCCTGCTTAGCCTTCTGAAGCACAGGGCCTGCGTGAATCCGATCAAGAGCGGGGTGGCCAGCGTGCACCCATTGGCATGTCTGGCCATGCGCCCGGCCAACTCCAATAACTTGGAGCTGGCCAAGCTGCTACTGGACGCCAGAGCGGATGCGAACATGCAGTACCGCGCCTCTGGCATTTGGCGTGCCGCAGAATTGCTGTGCCTTGCTCGGGTGAAGATATTCGGGCCCATGACTCCGAGGATCACCAACTTCATCCTTGAGTGGTCCACCACCCCTTTGGGCGTTGCTTGCTTTTTTGGGTTCGATGAGATGGTGAAATTGCTTCTGGATGCAGAAGCGGACCCTGAGATACCCAATGACCGCGGACATACCCCGCTTCAGCTTGCTGAGTCGACATCGGTCCTGAACATCGTTCGACACCACCAGACCACGTTTGCAGTTTGAGAACTTTTCAGTGTCACGCAAATGCTAAGCATTTGATTGATGGTGCTTGATTTTTTGACCTCGGGCAAAGCGCGCCAAAGGTGTCGCTTGCATTAGTTCTCTCAGCATCTCGATCCATTTTGCGTTCAATTCACAATTTCAGGGCGTGCGTAGTCATGCCGGAAATCATTCCCTGCTCGATTTCGGTTGTAAAGCCACATATCCGACGAGCAGATGAGGTTGCACTCGATGTTTGATTTGCCTCGAACTCTCATCATGGGGTTGTTTCCTGCTGAACCTTGTTTTCATGTGTGACATATCGGGGACCATGGTGACCACGGAGATCAAATCTCTCATTTTGGCAAAAAGCGCGCGTTGCGCTGAGTGTTGGCAGAGACGGTTTGAGCAGAGTGACGTACGCATGTCCTGTTGAGGATTGCTGGGGGACGAGGGCACAAATTGAACGGCGTGCTTATGCTTTGTGTTGTTTGGGCCCATCGTCGTATTGGGGCCCGCTCCAATCTAGCGAGAGTCAAATACTTGACCGTTGTGAAGTGATACAGAAATGCTGTTTGCGGTGTTTCAACCAATGCCATACTTGTTTACATCGTTTGGGGTCAACAAAGTCGGCTCTCTAAATCTCGTTATTTTTCTTAGCTGTTTTGGCTGCTTCAGAGACGTCACAACCCTTGCGATACGTTGGCAACCCCCGAGAGTGCAAATGAACCAATCCGACGCGCTTGGAAGAAGTCTTGCCAGGCTGCTCCAAAGTGCAGCAGTTGCTCTCTGGGGGAGCGCCCTGAAGCCAGGGGCCAAAGTGAGGGGGTGGACCCCAGCTCTGCAAGCATCGCTTTTCGAGTGCTTGAAATTAAATGCTCTGAGCTTACAAGGGTTGCCTGTTTCTGCAACCTATTGAATGTCCAAGGCACGAGTCCAAGGGGCAAGGAGGGGGGGTCGGTTTCGAGTGGAGCGTGGGTCAATATATTTACTGCACAAGGGTACAAGCAGCAGCTCGGGTTGCGAATGTGCTGTTCTTTATTTCCTTTTTTTCTGGCGAATGTGCTGTTCTTTACTTCCTTTTTTCTGTATTTCTGTCTGTCCGTCCGTCCGTCCGTCGTTTCTTTCGTTCTTTCTTTCTTTCGTTCTTTGTCCCCCAACAGCTGAAAAGCTTTGGGGTCTCAGCCCAGATAGGCTCTGGGGTGGTCTGGGCGGCTCTGAGGTAAGGTTCTGCGTGGGTTCCTGGGATGCGCGGGGTGGCTCTTAGTAGGGTTCTTGAAGGGTTTCGTGAGGGTTTGGCGGAGCGGCGCTCCTATTTGAGAAAATCGCTGTCCTTTTTGTTCGCGAGCCGTAAATTGACATGTGGCCAGAGCTTTCTGTTCACCTGCCTAAAGCTTCCAGCCCCGTGGTGCCAAAAGGCAAAGCAACTGGCTGGCTTCCCTTTGGCTTTCAGGGACGCCCAGCTTTGCGTTATAGTCAAGGCGGCATGCTAAGCAAAACCGGCTTTGGACGCCGCCTTAACCGTGAAGCTGGGCCACGCTGGTGCCCTGGGTGCCGACGGTGCACGGTCTGGCCCGGCCTTGCAACCGGGCCCCGACCCGCTTTCATCGCGGGCCAAAAAAAGAGCGCCGCATGGTGATCCGTCGGGGATTTCTTGCTTTCTTGCTTTCTTTCTTGCTTTCTTGCTTCTTTCTTTCATTCTTTCTTTCTGTCTGTCTGTTTGGCTGTCTGTCTGTCTGTCTGTCTGTCTGTCTGTCTGTCTCTCTGTCTCTCTGTCTCTCTGTCTCTCTGTCTCTCTGTCTCTCTGTCTCTCTGTCTCTCTGTCTCTCTGTCTCTCTGTCTCTCTGTCTCTCTGTCTCTCTGTCTCTCTGTCTCTCTGTCTCTCTGTCTCTCTGTCTCTCTGTCTCTCTGTCTCTCTGTCTCTCTGTCTCTCTGTCTCTCTGTCTCTCTGTCTCTCTGTCTCTCTGTCTCGCTGTCTCTCTGTCTCTCTGTCTCTCTGTCTCTCTGTCTCTCTGTCTCTCTGTCTCTCTGTCTCTCTGTCTCTCTGTCTCTCTGTCTCTCTGTCTCTCTGTCTCTCTGTCTCTCTGTCTCTCTGTCTCTCTGTCTCTCTGTCTCTCTGTCTCTCTGTCTCTCTGTCTCTCTGTCTCTCTGTCTCTCTGTCTCTCTGTCTCTCTGTCTCTCTGTCTCTCTGTCTCTCTGTCTCTCTGTCTCTCTGTCTCTCTGTCTCTCTGTCTCTCTGTCTCTCTGTCTCTCTGTCTCTCTGTCTCTCTGTCTCTCTCTGTCTCTCTGTCTCTCTGTCTCTCTGTCTCTCTGTCTCTCTGTCTCTCTGTCTCTCTGTCTCTCTGTCTCTCTGTCTCTCTGTCTCTCTGTCTCTCTGTCTCTCTGTCTCTCTGTCTCTCTGTCTCTCTGTCTCTCTGTCTCTCTGTCTCTCTGTCTCTCTGTCTCTCTGTCTCTCTGTCTCTCTGTCTCTCTGTCTGTCTGTCTGTTTGTTTGTTTGTTTGTTTGTCTGTCTTCTTTGTCCCCAACAGCTGAAAAGCTTTGGGGTCTCTGCTCAGATAGGCTCCGGGGTGGCCTGGGGCGGCTCGGAGGTAAGCTTCCGCAGGTCCGCGAGGGTTCCGTGAGGGCTTGGCGGGATCTATCAGGTTAATTTCTAGCTTTGTTATGTCTTTCTTTCTTTCTTGCTTGCTTTCTTCCTTCCGTTGTTCTTTCCCTTCCCTTCGCTTCGCTTCCCTTCCCTTCCCTTCCCTTCCCTTCCCTTCCCTTCCCTCCTTCCCTCCTTCCCTCCTTCCCTCCTTCCCTCCTTCCCTCCTTCCTTCCTTCCTTCCTTCCTTCCTTCCTTCCTTCCTTCCTTCCTTCCTTCCTTCCTTCCTTCCTTTCTTTCTTCTTTGTGTTTTTGTGTTTTTCACTAGTTATGTCAGCGTTTGCTTGTTTGCTTGCTTGCCTGCTTGACTGAGGGAGGGACGGAGGGAAGGAGAAAAGGAAGGAAGGCAGGAAGGAAAGAAGGAAGGGAGGGAGGGAGGGAGGGAGGGAGGAAGGAGTGAGGCAGGCAGCAGACAGGCAAACAGCAGACAGCAGGCAGGCAGGCAGGCAGACATCGATCGCAGCTGTGATCTCTTTTCAGAAGCCAATTGGGACGTAATTAAGCGGATACGCAACAGCAGCGTGCAACTCAGCCCAGGCAAAATCACGGCTCTAACGGCAAGTGGCCTTGTCTGGATCGGGATATGCTCGCGGTGCGGAGTAGTAGTAGTAGTAGTAGTAGTAGTAGTAGTAGTAGTAGTAGTAGTAGTAGTAGTAGTAGTAGTAGTAGAAGTAGAAGTAGAAGTAGCAGTAGCAGTAGCAGTAGCAGCAGTAGCAGCAGTAGCAGCAGTAGTCGTAATAACAATACCAATAAAGTCCAGCAGATCCCGTCCTGTCTTCCGGTCTTTCTCTCCCTCCTCTCCCTCCCTCCCCTCCCTCCGCGACTTTGTAGCTGGATCTGCTGCAGCGTACTTTGTGACTTTCTAGCTGGAGCTACGGAAGCAGCTTTGCGCGCCAGCTTGGTACGCGGCCACATCAACCGCGCTGGCGAGCAGCTGCGTTTCCAAAGGTAGGCTCACAGGCGTCGCGAAACACTTTTCATCCATACCTTCGGATCACCGCGGAACGATCCATACACATGAAGACTTGCGAAGTCGCAACTACGCAGTCATCCTTGTGTTCCAAGCATGCGCAATACATGTGCAGAATTACTTGTGATTGTTGGTAATGGCCCGGCCTTGGATCAGGAGTGGTTTTCCTCTCGGGCAGATTGGAGAAGACCAATCTCACCGAGCTCTCGTGACATGCATCGCTCGAGCGACCTTGGCCGTTCCAGCGCTTTGGAACCGGCGCTCGGCGGAACAGCATGGTTTAAGCGGATGGGCACATGATGGATCCCAGAATGCCCCGGAGTGACGAGGAACGGAGCCGCTCTTGCGCGTGTCGATTCGCGGGTGGCGGAAGAAAACAAGCAGAGCCTGTGGATGGGTTGGGGGAGATTTGCTGCATGATAGAAACAAGAGCCGCAAATAGATCCCAGGTTGTAAACACATGGCAAACTTTCCGGTTTTTTCCAATCACGCATCGGATAATGTTTGCAATGTCGTGCACCTGGCCAGGAAGTGTTTTTGTGTTTGCCTCGCGCCGCAGCCAAAGTTCTGGCTCCGGAAAGGTCCTCGGGTTCTTCCTGAGTTTCGCAGGGGTCCCTTCATTTCCTGTTACAGTGATCTCATCAGCTTTTTGGCTGACAGGCAGTGACTCTCCTGCTATGCTGTTCCCTAGGAGCAACCTCGGAAGGATGTGTATATTTGTTGGCCCACTGGATCCAGTTTACCCTCCAGGTGACGTTCAAGTGAGAAACCAAAAGAGTTCTGCTCCACAAAAGTGTGGACACTTGAAACTGACGCCACTTGCAGTGACTGCCAGGCCTCTGCTGTTACCCAACGCCACAGACAGACCTTTGCTACGAGCCTTTCAATAAATGAAACTCTGTACCATGCAAGGCGTGTCTGCTTTAATACTTTTTGCCAGCAATCCGTGCTCTTCTCCATAGTTAGTCATCCAAGATCGCCTCAATAGAATGTGATCCAGACTCCTTGTGTTGGCACCTTCACAACCACCACTCCTCGGGAGGCTCCGTCCAAGGCGTTCCCATAAAGATGCATCTCTGTCATGACTGGGTTTCAATAGCAGCTTGGGTATTGAATCAGTTTCAGGGTTTTGCCATGTCCCCGAGGTGTTTTCAAGCTTCGAACAACAGTCTCAGCCAAAGTGAGAGCTGAGACATTGCCGTGCCATGGCTGCCGATTTGAAGGACGTGCCGTTGCACCAGCCGGGCATCCCAAGGGATGCGACTCACGAGCACCAGTGGAAAGAATGGAAGCTTCCCTTAAAATTCAAATCTTGTTTTGGCCCCTTGCTTAAACAAAGGGCCAAAAATACTCAGGTTTGCCCAGGGGTCCTTCTTGGCTAGCTCAACAAGCCCCAGTAGATCGCACGGCGGCCCGTTTGGCGGAAATGGGTTGGATCCACCCTTGGAATAGCCAGTACTTGTCAGATGATAAGCCGAAGGCAGTTGAGGCAGTCCCCATTTGTCTTAGGGCTTAGGGATCATCCTTGACACTGATTCTGAGACAAGCATCTTCCTCAGCGCAGGATTATCCCCAGTGCTGGGGCCACGGACCGGTTCAGCAAAAGGATCCGAACCCCCCCCCCCTTTTAAAGGAGGCACCGCAGCCGAAACCAACGGGCGGTTGCTTTGCTGCCCCCAGCCTTGTGCCTTACCTCGGAAAGTTTCAGGCACCCCCTTCCCCCCCTGGCCCTTGAGTTCGAAATGGTATCCCGTTTCGCAAGGCTTCCTGTGTGCCCCAAGGGGAACGGCAACCCTGAGCTGAGTTGGAGAGCCTCGGACGGCACGGGCCCGAGGTTGGTGGAGCCCTTTGATACGCGGCAGCAGCTCTGCGGGGGTCAACTGCTGCTCCGCATCCGCTTGGCCTCGGATGAGGCTAAGCCCAGTCTGACAGTCCAAAACGATTCGAGACGTGGGCTTCAAATCATTGGCCACTGTGGATGGACGAAATCCTGCACCACTTTGAAACTACGGGAAACCATTGTTTGTTGGTATTGACAGGGGAATCATCATTCCATGGCTTCTTAGGTGGTGCAGGATTTCGTCCATCCACAGTATGCACAGTATGTCATGCGAATATTCCGTGCATGCAGAGCGGTGATTGTATTTGTATGTTGTTGTATATGCCTGTTTGTGGGCACAGTGTCGAGGCAGGTTCGTGAGACTGGATATACTCAGTCGTCGAAAGAGGGCACAGAGGGACGTTGTGAGCGGTCCATGATCTCGGGCACGGAGGCCTCAAGATTCTCGATCCACCGGCACTCTACCCATGAAGTCATCGATCCTATGGTTGTCAAGACGGAAGCCCAAGCCACGTTTTTACAAGGAGACTGTACCCCGCATTTTTCTTCAGTTCATGGGGGTCCTTGACCAGAGGATTTCAATTTGAGTCCAGGTGGCGTCTCTCACGGAGCCGGATCCCTTATTTCGCTTGGTCCCGCGGGTGGCGTATCTGCCCTTCCTCTTCCACGAGGTCTTGGAGCACTTCAAGAAGTCCATCTCCCGCATGGGCCAACCCTGTGAGCTGTGGTTCGACTACAACAACATTGCCACCTGGAGAGGGGCAGATGCGGACAGGGATGGTTCCTGTTCCAAAGGGTTTAGGCAGAAATGTGTATTGTGGTGAGTGTCTCCGTCATTGTTAAGATGCGATGAAATCAACGCTGGACACAAAGGAGATCCTTGAAGTGGTGGAAAGTTCATTCCGATGACTATATTCGCTACCGAAAGCGGGCAAGCTATTTCAGCGTGTTTGATACCCAAAACTCCCAAAAGATGGCACAATTCTCAACAGCAAAGGCGCTTAGTCAGATCCCTCCCCGAAGGAAACTCGGTGCGCGACGAATTGGCATAGGATCATTTACAGATTCTCCATCAGAGGACTCAAAGATCTTTAGCCTTAAAAGTCAATCAGGCAACCCCATAGGGCTCAACCCGAATGAAAAGACCTACTTGGATGACGATTAATTCTTAGGTAAATGTTGTTGGTTCAATATGAGCCCCGTTGTTTTACTGTAGTGGTTTAATATGAACCTCATGGGTCATAACCTATGCCTCCATTTTGGGGCGGATGAACACCCATGTACCACCTATTTTTTTGTTCACCAGTCAAGGGTTTTGACCCACAGCCATATGAACCTTACGGCTTTCATTGTGGCAACCATAGGTGTCCTTTTTGGTTGATTTGCTGGTTTACCTGGTGCTTCAATCAATTACCGGGGCCATCTATTTTCCCAAAACGGACACCTATGGTGGCAACTGACCCCCAGACATTTGTCGTCTCACTCGTGAGTCACAGCCAAGGCCCTGAAGTGGCACTTCCCGGTGGGGGTGCTGTGCGACTCGCTGGTGGGCCTGGAGGCGGGTGGATGGGAAAAGCTGGTTGGAGGCCATCATCATTTTGAGGAAGAAAACGAAAGAAAGAAAAAACAGGTCCCCCAGCTAGGTGCCAACTTCTACCGTTTCTTTTTGGTTGGGAGGGTTTTCCCCTACTAAAATAGACTACGGAAAAAAGTTGGTACCCTTATTCTAACCTCTCTACTGGAGGACCTAGAAAAACACCCGTCGCAAGAGGTCCCACGTGCCCTAAGGCAATCCTTGCAGGCTACATGGATGTAGAAGCGGAGTTGGCCATTGTCACTTTGAGGAAACCAAAGGGAACACCACCGATGCTAGAGGATTTGTGTTTATGTGCCCTGAGGCAAACCTTGCAAGAGGTTGCATGGATGTAGAAGGGGGTGGATTGGATCAAAGTTGGCTGCTTTGTTTGGTTTGGACTTGGGAAGCGCTTTCTTCACTGGCAACCAACCTACAACATAGGATCCATTTAAGTGCAAGATAGTGCAAGATAGCCACAACTGGTTTGTTCATGTAAATGATGTCTGCAATGTCAGCAACGCCAGCCAGCTTGAAGCAAGCCCGGGATCACCTTTCTTGGGATCTATCTGCATCCCTTTGACAAGGGAAAACTGGGCCGCGTGTACACACGTCCTGTTCCCTGTGCACAAGCAAATTTTATTGGAGCCTGATCACACACTTGTGTTTCGCAGGTGCCCTTTTAGTTTGGACAATAGCCGATGCAATCGAAGGTCAGGGGGGAAAAGGGTTCCCAGTTTTTCCTTGCTTGCTTTTCAAGACAAAGGGGATCCCCTAACACTGGGTCAAATCAGTTTGAGTGTTTCTGGGGGTTATCAAAGTCAGAGAAAAAACGGGTTTGTGGCCCTTAAACCGACAACTTAGAGGGTGCTTTGATCATTGTAAACGCATGAGGCCAGTATGGGAAAAGGAGAGATTGGCCGTACTTGGCAAATGCAAGGAAGAAATACTAGTTGCGATGGTAAAGAAAAAACCAGACATCGCAGCACCTAAGAAACCATGGTTGAAGCCACGGTTGTAACATTCGAAACCACATGGCTGTGGGTGAAAACCAATGGGATCCCATTTTAGATGAATTCACCACCCATTTTAGTACCTATTTTAGTGGTTGGATTGAATCGGATGTTCACTGGGGGTACGATTTGGCTTTTGACCCATGGCCATATGGGTATGGGTCAAAATTAAGCCACCAGGGGACCGCAGGTTTTGGTCCATGTTTCCATTTACCAGGGTTCCATTTTGGGTACCTATTTTTGACCCACACCCATACGGTTCATGTTTTGAGTCGCCGAGTAGGTGCCGGTGCCCTGGGATCTCACGGTGCACTTCCGCGGCAACTCCTCCATGAAGGACTTGCTGCCATTTAGCGACTCGAAAAAAGACACCGGAACGGGTGCGGAGAGGCCATTTGGATGTTGGGTGTTCATCTTGGTGTTTTGTTTTTGGTTTCCGATGTGGAGTGGATGGAGGCTTTCCGTTGGTCTTCCTTTTGACATGCTCCAAATCCCCATGCTGTACAAGTTTGTCGCATGCCTTTTGGTAACACCTGACCCTGCCTCGAGCTGGGATTCTTTATTTGGTTCCCTGCTTTTCTATATATATATTTTTGGGGGGGGTCCCTTGTTTTCTGAGAACCCCTTGAGATATGTTCCGCTCTTAATGCAGCTAACTAGCACTTGGGATGTTGAAAGGGAGTTACTGTTTGGTCGGGAAATGTCTACAGAG